GCATTTCCTTATCACTGTTTTCGCGCTCACGCCGGCCGTCGATGTTGGTCTTTCAATTTATTATTTTTGAACATAGGTTAATTCAAAGTGTGCGTTTAAATTAGGTCTGGAAAGGTCTTCTAGAAGCCATGCGTATGACTGATCCAGCTTTTTTCTTCTATTCGAGGTCGGAGACGCTATTTTATATAGTGGACGAAAAATTGCGGTCTGAGGAATTGCAGCGGGCGGGGCTGGCTCAGGCGTGGTAAAACGAGCATCTCTATGTCGTTAACTATTATCGAGTTCAGTAGTCTCAGAGGCATTATTTTTGCACTGCTACAGTATCCCACCGTAATCCCACGCGTTAAAGCTGGATAACATTAGTCTTCCCTCTGCAGTAGCGGAATCGTCCTCGAGTCGTTTGTAGCTCAATTGTATGTCCGTACGTTATGCGCGGCAAGACGACTGCCTTACTAGTAAGTTCGTAGTAAAACCTCTAGCGTAATAAACTACAAATCATACCAGTCGAAATAAAAGAGACAAGGAAATAAGGACACTGGAAATGAGCAAATTTTGGTCTTACAAGCGTCGAGAGTGCGCATGGTGTGCTATACAGATATCAACTTAGAAATTGCTCGACAGTATAGTATACAGTACAATACCTATACTAGCACATAGGGAATGACTTTCAAAAAAGGTGGACAAACATCTCTTTTGCAAGCGGCTTAGTTGAAGCGGTGAAAGCTCTCAAAATTTTGGCGCATAGCTCTGATACAGAAAGATTTGGTTGACTCAATTTGACTGACAGATTAGAGAACCAATGTTGACTTGTTAGAGATTTTCCTGGAAAAAGTGAAAGTTTCCTAATTTCCTCATTAATTGTCTGTCAAGCAAGACAGGTTCCCTTCGATGAGGAAGTGAATGCCCTCTAAGGCAGCGTCCACTCGAAATCTTTCTTTTCTTTCTTTCGTGTTTATGTCATTTTGGGGTCTTTCCGTGGCCCTAATTACAATTATGAAGTTCAAAATGTCCCAAAACCTCCCAAAAACCCAATTACTGGGAAGCCTATCCTGAATACACAGGCACCACTCAATACCTGTGTGGGCGGAGCTTGACAGGATCTGGGCGTGGCTTGGTAGCACTTTCGCTTTCCCAGATTCATTATCTCCATTCAGAGACAATATTAGAGGGCCGGGCCAACGCGGATGCCCCTCTCCTGGGCCTACGTTTAGGATCGGCACTAATCCGACGGGGTTAGATTTAGCCTGGATACTGCCTCTGAGAATGGTCCCTAGCTCACGTCGAGTCCACTGTTCCACATAAGTTGGGCACACCTATCCTTGACAATTTCTCTGCTAGTGCAAGCTCTATGCAATAGCGCCTTGGTTCCCTCTTCAGCCGTTTCCATCGTTTCAACTACAAAATTTTCTGCATGAAATACGTGAATTTGTAGCTCCTGGCAACCAATTTTCAGTTCTTTTACATTCTACAATTGCGAATGTTTACTCTATTCAAGTGACGAAGACCTTTTCAATAGGGCACTTGCAAGAAAACTGTACACAAATGACCCGCTTGTCTATCGGTAGCTGCCTTAAATACTCACCATTCATGAATTTTTTTTCTGTTGATTTAGAGCCCTCTTACTACTGTTGCTATTTTTGCAGGTTATTCTTCTTCGTGCTCTTCAGTTTCCGTGAGACTTTTATAGCAGGAAAGCCGCAAAACAAGAGTTTTCAAACGCAGAAATAGTCCTATAGGTTAGTCACATATGAAGGCGGCTACCCGTGTGAGCGAAGCGTGCGCGGGCGTACTAGCTGTGACGATGAAACATTGTCGAATTTGGCGTTCACACTCTTCAATGAACCGAACGCTGTAGATCGTTTAGATGCCGCCTCTGAATCTAAAAATAGCAGAATTTATTGCTTATAAGACATCATAAATTTATTTTTAGAGATTACATCTTTTTGGGCATGCAAAAGAGTTTCGGAAGCCTTTCATCTCAAGCAGGTCCCTTTCTGGAGTTTTCGGTGCTCTGTCTTAAATCTTTGAGCGGAGCGCTTTCGTAATTTTTTAGTTTGTATGATATCGTCATGGCTTATCTTCTACATCCATTCTTTCTCCCCTTCAATTTGCATTAAAAGTGTTATCGTTACGACGATTTCCACGGCAACAGCTGAAACTGCTTATGCCGATTTCTTGCGTTCCAGTACTTTTTTATACTTGGTAACGTGACTTTGTCATAGCATGTACTTTAGAAACGTGCAAAACTAGTGTTTCTAAGCAGTCATTGGGAAAGCGAGCATAAGTAGTTGATGAGGCATGAGCACTATTTTTTCCGAAGTCTTTTCCTAATGTGTGACGCTCATCGGAAAAGCGTGAACGAATGGTAATCATCTGTGTCGACGATGCGACTTTAACCACTGTTTGTTTAAGAATGCCACCATCCTATCTATCTTTTGTTTGGCTAGCACCTCGAATTTCTTTACTGGCATAATTCCCTCAAACATGATAGGCATGAGATGATACCTCTTTCCTCAACCTAGCTTAGCAGTCGGCAGTCCACAAAGCAATGTTTCGCTTATCGTCTTATCGCTTCTCATGAGCTCATTCGAATTACCTGCTTTCAAAGCTCTAAACTCTAAGCAAATGTGTCTTTTGACTGATTCCTACTGCAAGAATCCCAAATGTCGCATCGCACGCTGTCGAGCATGGGCTTTTCGCTATTTCTTAAAAGGTAAGTCATTTGTAAGTTATTGCTTATGCACCCCACGCGCCGTGCTTGAAGTATCATATAGAACCCGCTCACTCTAATTGGTCTCCTTGTTTTGTTATCTCTTTTGTTTTATCGGATAAGTGCTAGTTAGTGTTACCCATTTCTACAGTTGGTCACAGAAGCTACAGAAGGGGGTGTCGTTAGTTGCCGTTTCTAATGTGCAGGCTCACACATTGAGTTACGAATGACCCGACGATAGTTATGGCAGCATTGTATTGCTTTCAAAGAGTCCGCTCTTGGGATTGTAGCTTTAGACTACTACTGGGGAGGGGGAGGGTTGCCCGTACAAGATGGGAGCTGTGGTTTGGTCTTATTGTAAGCTCCAAGCAGATCTCCTAAATGAGCTATTGCCTGAAAGTGAAACCCATTCGTGATGCTGGAAGCGACAGAATTGCTATGAAAGTTATGACAGTGTATAATGCACTATATCATAGACCAAATCGGGATTGTCTTTTGCACGAGATCCGCGAAGTGGGAAGTGTCTTGTAAAGTGTTATGTTTTGGCACCTGAAGAAGGTTATAGATGGTGAGACTTGGCCGTTCAACTCTCACAGCAATTTTGTCCTTACGGCTCATGATCTGCCATTTCGTTCCCTTGTACTGACTTATGGGGGGTCTGCCTTGAATTATAGGCAGAACTCCTTACTCCTATTTTATCCGGACACCCCAATGAGAAAAGATAATGATTAGAAAGCTCAACGGTGAGGTACAGCATAATCATTGTCGGAAGGCGGGTAGAGGAACGAACTCCGCCAGTTTGAACCGCCTCCGCGGACCACTGGTCCTGCAACGACATGCAACATGATAGCAAAAGGACCAGTTGCCAGCGAAGGCGGCTCAAACTGGCGTAGTTTGTTCCCCTACCCTCGGAAGGCGACCCTGCCGTCTATCGTAATCTAGGTAGCAGATAAGGGATGTGTCCGTGTTTGCCGTGGTGGGAAGCAGGGGATGAGCACTTTTACCATACTCATCCAAACTAAATCCATATATAAACGAATCACGACAGGCACTGCGTGAGTTACGGTAGCTCACGGGTAATGAGTGAGATTGCGCTTTTTCGACATTTTAAGCATGCCTTAGCTCTTATCCTCTATCAACATCCTCTTGAGTGCAGAAAAATATGCGTCTGCATTGCGATCCAAGCATTTCACATCTGATTTCTGTTGACTAGTCAAGATGCTAGAACCTCATGTGCTTCTTCTGCTTTCGACTATCTTCACAAAAACTCTTTCGTGCGGTATCTGCTGCATTCATATGAATATAGAAACAGATGGTGAATTTGCGTCAAACGGCTTCCCATCTTCTTAATTTCTACTGATCGTGAATATGGTCATTGTTTCTATTTTTTTTTTTTGATTCAATGTTCGCACCGTTCTGGAGCCAAGCAACTTTTTACTGCGCTTGTTGTCTTCATATTGAAGGCAATGTTCAGGGAAGTCCGGGCACTTAGATCTCTTATAAATACAATAGAGTAGATTTTCCGCTTAATACAGTATGCTCGCTTTGCAGGTAAATTGCGGTAAAATTTGCGCGATTAGCAAACAATTAACCACGCCAGTAATGCCGGCATTTTGCGCGCGCAACTGACCGGCATCCCAGGCGTGAATTGTTGCGCGCTTTTACCGCATTTCACCTGCGATGCATACATTATATTAAGCGAAAAATCTACTTGACTGTATGTATACTGTGGAGGAGAATTTAGCCAAGCCGTTAACAAAGCAGAAGCTCTGTGGTTTATTCTATAATCTAACTTCAAATTTTCGCCCATTATCGTATTCAACGTCGCTGATTGGTGCGCGCGCGAAGGAGTACGGTAGTGGGCGAGAGTGTCAAATTTTTTGGCCAAAATGACATATGAACTGCTGCTAACCTACCACCTCCTGGAACAAACAAAATACACATCGAGGTGTTCTCAAACAATGCCTTTGAACGTTGTTACCAAGAATAGTCAAGGTCTTTCTTTTGTACAAGCTCTTATTTCTATCGTATTATCCGTGAAACACTTTGTTCTGTTAATGCGTTCGTTGAAATCATTTAGAATGAGTCACATCTTCCATATGCTTTTATGTATATAGTGAAGCGCTTCCTTGTTCTATGTTTCCACTTAATCATCGCATTTGCCTTCGCTCGCCGCCGCCGCTATCGTCGTCGATTATTTCTTTTGAGGGGGCGCGCATTGTTGCGTCCGAGAGAGCATTCACTCTCGTGACACGGCTCGTCGTCTTTTGTTTCTAGAATTTCTTCTGACGGATCCGAGCCCGTCGCGTATCGTCTGCTGTACTTGTGTCGCCACATGCATTGTTTCTTTTCCAGAAGCGAACGACCGCGAGGTGCTTGACGCACTCAGCTGCTGCCATTGCGACAACACAAGATGGGTGCGCTTAGCCGTATGAATCTGAGGTCTTATTTTCCTCCACTTTCATACCGCTCTTTTATGAGACATTATTTGCCTGCATCTGGAGCTATTTCTCACACGTTATTTGCCGTGCATATTTTCAATCCAACATTCGTTTCCAGGTAAGGTTTATTTTGACACCAATATTTTCAAATTTTTTCAAAGTCTCGAATTGAAAATTTGTAAGGTTGTTCGGTCTAGACACCTCGTATTTTCTTTTTCCGTTGAATGCGCTAAATGAAAGCTACGAATCAGTCGTTAAAAAGTTTTGTTACACCTGGAAAAAATTTTAGATTGAAAGTTTTCTCTTTTTGAATCATCCGAAAGAGCTTGATATGTACATGTCACACGTAAAAAATTATTTTCGAAATTTTGATTTTTTGTGATTATTTTTGGCGAAGTTCCAATTTGCGTTATTGATTAGCCCAACCTTCCGATCGCCTGTAGTAGTGATGCCTCAAGAGTCGGTAAAAATAGCATAAATGAAGACTGAAAATTCTTAAAAATTATGAAAAAAGTAGGAGTTAAAATGAAACAGAACCAGCTTTATATATGGTGTAACTCATGTTTTGAAAGTGAGAATGGTGCCAATGAAATAACTCTTAGCTCCTTCCTCATACATGCCAAATAGAGAATTCGCCGAAGTTTTAGGATTTTTTAGAAGAAGACGAAGAAAGTAAAATTTGATGTAACGATCTACTATTTTGCAGTTGTTGCACTCTACTTTGTAAGATTTATGTGATATGACTGAAATTTGAGAAATCCGTGACATGTGACTTGTTGTAAGAATTATTATCTCTGATTGTTCTCCGAGGAGAAGGTACAGAAAATGGACTAAAATCGACAGGTTTTGTTACATCTGCATTGAAGAAGTGTTCCTTTCTCTTTTGATGCCCCAGATATCTGATCTGATTCGATTCGATACATCATAAAAATACTGGCACCACCGGGACCATAGTCACGATAATCAATCTTGGTGTCACAACGATCAATCTTACCATTTTTTTTGTAAACTTAAGCAGACTTTCGATTCGTATAGTCTGTGACGTGCAGGTAATTTGTTTGAAGGGTATCCTGCTTTTTTGCTTAGCTTTATTCTTTCAAAAAATAGCTATAAATGTAGGTGTGGATGGCGACTCAGTAGGGCTGCTGTAAAAATATTTTCTATCCTGAATCAGGCAACTAGCTCATGATACTTTTTGTTATAATAAGAGTCGATAAATTTTTTGAGGCATTAATTTGCTGCTCAAAGCGACATGCAAGTTGCAGACGCAGCGGTGCGCTTGACGCCTATCAGTCGCTGAGAGAGAACGTGAAGCAAAGAGACGCAGGACGTTGCCGCAACGCCCGCAATTTTGGCAGTGTCTGCGCTTATCTGCACTCAAAACGCTTATCTGCGGTTGCAGAAACTATTATACGAAGGTTTTTATGCTCTCCATAATCCGATTATCATCACAGTCAACTGCTGTCGTAGATTGCATGACTGCATGTGCAAATCACACTTTATCAATCAAACTGAATCATCGTTAATGTTTAGAATTAACGCTTCTGCCGGAAAGAAGATAGTCACAAAAGCCCTATAGAAATTACAGTGAAAGCCAAAGCGTGATGCGCCTGGCGACTGCATAACATAAATTTATTGCACTTATTCGGCTTTAGTTACTCAAAAACGCGAAAGAGTTCCATTATCCAAAATGAAGTTTTTTTTGAACTATTATTAGAACTTTACTTAATGTCTCATACTCTTCTCGAATTACAGGTCTATGCAAATACCATTTGTCTAGTGCAAATAACTGCAGTAGCAGTGTCCCATCGCCTGAGTAGTCTGTGTAAATATAGTAATCGGAACGAAAAGGGTGTTTGCGGCAGTTGAGAGGATCCCTGGAAATCGGATAGCTGGTATATACAGCTGTTTGTAATTCACACTAAACTTTTTTTCCGTCATTTTAGACTTCCGTAAAAAAAAATTCGCGGAGATATCATCGTATAGGCGAAACCTCATCGGAAGATTAGTGAGCCCTTGCGGTGCACTTTTTGATTTTCATTGAAATGAAGATGCTAATAGACGTAAAATTTCATACGCACGAGAGTATAAAAATGATAGTGAATCGCTCTCTTTATAGTTTTGACTTTTAGAGATTACTGCTGTCAACTTAATGCACTTGTTGTCAAAAAATGTATCAAACAAGACCAGCAAAGCACTGGCATAAGCGCTTTTTCATTTGTCAAAAACTTCCTTTTTTGCTGTCAGAATAGTCTTAAAAATTTTTGAACAATTTAAAGGTTGTATTCATTTCGGTTCCGCTATGAAGTCTTTGGAGGGTAATCGTTTCAATTAAAAAAAGAATAGTTTACGCAGAAGTTTTGCAGGGTTTGATTGAGCGTCCTACACACCTTAATCATGCCTTTGTCAAAATCCATTTTTCTACGTTCCTAGCACTATTGAGGCAGGTCATCTAGCTGAAACCGAGGAAGTACAAATGACTTTTCTTTACAGCAATTTTAAACAGAATTCATCAGTTACTAAGAAGCTTTGGAATTCAATTGTTCCTTGTGTGCAAATGAGCTATTTTATCTGTACTGGAAGTGAAAAGAATTCCGTAGTGTCTAATTCTATAAAAACAAACGTTGCAATATCTGATTACTTTTGATTCATCTGTACACATGCGTCGGCGCTACAACTCTTAGTCACCCCGATTTCTTTATCATGCAAAAAATGTTTGCTTGGTGGGAATCTATGTCATAATCGTATATCGTTAGTCATGTGTATGATAATTCGTTGAAAGTGTGTGCAAGGAAAAGATTTCATAAAAAGAAAAATGCATTACTATTGCTCTGCTCCATCTAAAGATATTAAGAAGCACTTAAAGGTCATTTTAGTTTTTCAACCTTGAAATCGTACTTATTGTTGAAAATAGAAAGTTTTCGCCAAGCATTCTTGAGCAATATCACTGAGAAAAGGTCTTGAAGATTTGACTTAGTGGATGATTCAGGTTAAAAGTATAGAGATCTTATCTTTCAGCCAATCTAAAAGCTTTTTTCTCTAACAGCGGCTGAATTGGTACTCATTAATTTATGAAGCAGGTGAGGTGAGATTAATGGTTGACTTCTTGAACTAAAACACTGACACATGCTAGATGAAATCTGTCAGTTTAAACCCTGCCCACATGATACAATCCGTTCTCATTCGCTGCATGGGGCTTTTGATTGGGAAGCAATTGTACCATCTGTCAGTTGTATTCGCATCTGTGTATTTTGGGAAGACGGTCAGCTGCAACTCTATCAACCAGCAAATTCGCTGTTCAAATTCTCGAAGAGATAGCTGCTAGAGCCGATAGCTTCTGAGGTGTTTGTGTACATAGTTCCATCAGACGGTCGACAATTTGTTGCGCTCTTCAAGTGTTGTCTGTAGGTGAAGCGAGAAATCGTCGTTCAACACCACTAAAAAGCCCAAGTTTTCACCCATTGTGGTCAAGTTGTCAATGGTCATCAAAATGTATAAGAGCTAGGCAAAGCTTTTCGAGCCTTGCATATCATTCCCATTTCTTGATTGTGCTTGTTAATTTTCAAAAATGCTGCATGGGAAGGAGTAGTTTAGATAGAAAAGTTTTTTTTGTCTCGCTAAGGTTCTACCTATAGCACTGGAGCGTTTCTACTAAATATTCGTTCAGTTTACTCATCGCCTAATATACCGAACCTTTTGACTTCCTTCTATTTTGAGTCAGAGTGAACAAAATTCATTGCCCACTCACCGAGTTGTTTTTCACCTTCGTTCTTTCATCTTGTGACCGAAATGCATGGACGAGAATTTACAAATTATTAGACAGTAATTTGTTCTTTACGCTTCTTCAAGATATTTTGCGGTTTGATGGAAGACTAACATCCATCAAAGTAAAATGATGATTTATATAGATTGACAGCGTTTGATGCGGCTGAATCACGTGATGTTATACTACATATTTGTGTCGAATTTCGTACTCACCAAACGCTTGCATTTTGAAAGGATCTCGGTTTTTTGCCAGACAAATGTTTGATGCGATATCTGAGCTTGTGTTAAATGCTGACAAATTACAAATTATGATGGACCTTTAGATGCAAATTTATGGGATCACATCATCTATGGCAAATTTGAACGGAGAATAAAAATTAAACTGTGGTCCATTACACATTTTTCTACTAATTGATAGCATAACAAAGATCAGAAAATATTGCTCATAGAATATTGTGGCGTATGATTGCATCTAACCATATGTGAACTGCATAAATATCTGTGAGCCAATTTCATACTCGAGAGCCATTTATTATTTAGGTAATCTTAAAGCGGTGTCTCGTCCGATTTTCGTCCTCCAATTTTTTTACCGTTTCGTAGCCTTTTCGCCATGTGGTCCATATCTGGGCTTTTCAGCGCATGAAAATGGCGAAAATGAGCTTTGTCCGAAGCTTTCCAGTCTGCAATCAGTGGAGAATAGGTGCAAGTGGGCAGGGCTCAGATGAGGGAGGCGGGACGCGAAAGACTTCTGGCGCATATCGCCAATTGCGGACCTGGAAAGCTTTGGAAAAAGCTCGTTTTCGCTCATGTGTTGAAAAGCCCAGATGAGGATTTGGATCATGGCGAGAAGGCTCCGAAAAGGTGGAAAACTGTAAAATGAAATTGACGAGACACTGCTTCCAAACACTTCCACTCTACGAAGAAATACAGAAGCATTTTTACGAAAATATCGAGTGAGGCGCGCTCTCACCGAGTAAACTTAAGCTAATTTTTACCTCAGTAATTATTTGGTGAATCTAGGTCTGCATTGCGTCAGTTTGCGCTCTAATTCTTTGCAAGGTTCTACATCCATCAAAATTATTACAGAGAAGGGAAAAAAGCAAAGGTCTCACGCTCGGCATTCTATGCATTAGACTTAACTTCAGCTAAAAATAGGTGACTGCAATGCATGACGCTTTTTTTCTCTTTCGCATGCGTAATGCGCAGAGAAACTGCGGTATAATATGAAATGATTTACTACTTCCTGATCGCTCATTACTTAGAGCCATGGGGCAAAACTTGTTTCGGTTGAAGCATTCACCTTTATTACCGTGATTATGAGATGCAATGAAGCTAGTTCTCCTAGACTTCTGCTGAGAGAGTTTCATGGGACTATAAAGAAATTTGATGAGGAAGAGCTGCGCGTCGAATGGCAGGGCAGTATGATTTGGATGCTCGTTTTTTTTTCGAACTTCTCATGAATTGGAAAACCATTTCCTCAAAAAGCTTGCAATTTGATGCGCTCCATTTACGGTGTGTTGACTTTTCTCATACATAACAGGTTCCTCTTCCTTGGAAATATAATGTCATTGTTCGAGCTTTCTTCAATGTTTATGTGCGAATGCCTGTTTGACATTACATGTTTTTCAAAAAAGCTGTGCAAACAAGGATTTATGGGTATTTACAAGTTTTCGAAGACTAAAGGCCCTAAAATTTCTGTTTTTCAGGCATGAAAATGTCAACTTGACCTTTTTGCAGAGTGTTCACCGTTGGGGACCTCGCTGCCAGTAATACGATTCTCTTCACAGCAAACATTGGCTTAGGCTTCTACGTATATTTTCGCCACCACCTCCATCGACTCAATCCATGGGATCGAGTGGAATTCAGGTATGTTGCAAATAATTCCATGGTTCATAGATACCACTAATTTGAAGTGTGGTAAGTTCATTTGTTCGCAGCATTGTTACCCAAAGATATGTTTGTGGCGCCAACCTTCGACGTTATCATTGGGTGTTAGGAACGTCTCATAGTTACGGGTTTTAACTCATAGGCTCGGTACCATAGGTGCGATAGAGGATCGAGCCTTTCCTGGTGAAAAGGGTCTCGGCTTTACCCACCATGCAGGGTTAGGACAAGCTTGGTAGTAAATTGCTGACGTTTGCTAGAAGGGATGGCGGAGAAGAGTGAAAAAGGCACAGAGTTTGTTATTTTGAAGAACTGTGCTCCTGTTTTATTGCATCAAAAAAATACAGGAATACGATTTAAGTTGTGTAACAGATACAAGCTAGGATCAACTTACGACCAAGCTTACTTACCCCCGACCCTGCAAGGTGGATACAGCCGAGACCCTTACAGTTAAGACCTAGAACTCACTTTAAACTCCGTTTAGGGTAAGCAACGAGACGGAGTAAGATGTTTAGTGTTCTCACAAAAGTTTTTGAGAATTTTCTTATAGTTTAGATTACACACTAAAAACGTTCTCGTTCCAGTACAACTTGATTTACTTTGTTACAACTCTTGCTCATTATCATCAAGAATATCACGATCACTACCATCACAATAAAACATTAAGTTCGCTCTTTGAAAAAATCTTTTTTAGTCGTCGGAATAAGAATAGAATTTCACGGGAAAGCGTACTTGGTCAAAAACAAATTCAAAGCACTTTTTTGGTTTCAAGCGCTATATGCGCTTACGGTACACTGTAGCAAAGCAACAAAACTATCTTGAAAGTCGTTGATCGGGTAGAAATTCACGTTTAGGTTCCATTCGAAGACATCATGCCTGAACAATCGAATTGAGTTATACAGCCTTTTTCAGTGTATTCTCGACGACTTTGTTCAATTTTGGAAGCCTTCTAGCTGCAGTACTTATCAAGGCATTAATACCTAATAAGTAGGTTGCTCACGTTGTAGCATATATTTGCAATGTCAATTGTGGTCATCAAAATTGTTTCAGAACACCATCGTGGGCGCGATGTTTAGTAGGATCAGCCTTGAGTATGTACTTACTGTCGAGAGCACACAAGTATCTGCACTATGTTGATGAACGAGCAGTCCGAAAAACTCCAACTCCTAGAAGGTGAGTAATAAAAAAAACATGATGCATTAGATGAAATGCCGAGAGAATTTGATTTGCAACAGTATGAGCTGTACTAAGAAATCTTGTACAAAAAACTTATTGGCGCAATTTTTTGGATTCATAGTCAGGAGAGCAGTGAACAAAGGGGAAACACTAACTGCCTGTCTCTCAAGAGGAAATGGAGTGTCAATTCGAGGAGACAGCCGCGCTTTGTTCAGTAATTGTGGTTTGCGTTTTTGGGTTATTTTTCATGCATTACCTGCTGTGCTTGAAGGCAAGACAATCGCTGGTGTGTCACCCCTCAAAGTGGTTTCTACTTGATAATGAATACAATAGACATAATAGGTTTTCCATTGACGTAGAAGAATGAAAAAGTTAGTGTAGAATCATTTACAGTTTTCATCCCTACAAAGTTTTGATAAAGCGCATTCTTTTCCATGGAAGCATCTAGATGCATGCCACTTACAATACTTTCGGGGGTCAGCCTCAGTCACCAGGTCAGTGCTGCAATCCTCCCAGATTGATATCAGTTCAACTCTCCGACTGAAGAGGGCTTAGTCAAGCTCGGGTGTGCTACATCGTTTCTCCCTATGTAGGTACATCGTGCAGCAAACATCTCCAACGGCTGCAGCAATTACATCGTTGTTGTTGCACCAACAGAATTGCAGTAGCAGGTTCTTGTAACTGTTATAGTAACGTCATATGGTTCCATCGATGTGCTGGATGGTCCGCTGTAACAACAACCACGTCCTTCTCATCATGCCGACACATCGTGTTGCAGCAACAGTTTCTGCAACTGCACAGCAACTACATCATTCTGTCTGGGCCGGCACATCGTGATGCAGCAATAGGTTCTGCAACTGCACAGCGACTAAATCATTCTGTCTGTGCCGGCACATCGTGTTGCAGCAATAGTTTCTGCAACTGCACAGCAACTACATCATTCTGTTTGGGCCGGCACATGGTTTACTGTAGCAACAACCACGTCTCTCTCATCACGTCGACCATCGTGTTGCAGCAACAGTTTCTGCAACTGCACAGCAACTACATCATTCTGTCTGTGCCGGCACATCGTGTTGCAGCAATAGTTTCTGCAACTGCACAGCAACTACATCATTCTGTCTGGGCCGGCACATCGTGATGCAGCAATAGGTTCTGCAACTGCACAGCAACTACATCATCCTGTCTGGGCCGGCACATCGTGTTGCAGCAATAGTTTCTGCAACTGCACAGCAACTACATCATTCTGTCTGGGCCGGCACATCGTGATGCAGCAATAGGTTCTGCAACTGCACAGCAACTACATCATTCTGTCTGGGCCGGCACATCGTGTTGCAGCAATAGTTTCTGCAACTGCACAGCAACTACATCATTCTGTTTGGGCCGGCACATGGTTTACTGTAGCAACAACCACGTCTCTCTCATCACGTCGACCATCGTGTTGCAGCAACAGTTTCTGCAACTGCACAGCAACTACATCATTCTGTCTGTGCCGGCACATCGTGTTGCAGCAATAGTTTCTGCAACTGCACAGCAACTACATCATTCTGTCTGGGCCGGCACATCGTGATGCAGCAATAGGTTCTGCAACTGCACAGCAACTACATCATTCTGTCTGGGCCGGCACATCGTGTTGCAGCAATAGTTTCTGCAACTGCACAGCAACTACATCATTCTGTTTGGGCCGGCACATCGTGTTGCAGCAATAGTTTCTGCAACTGCACAACAACTACATCATTCTGTTTGGGCCGGCACATGGTTTACTGTAGCAACAACCACGTCTCTCTCATCACGTCGACCATCGTGTTGCAGCAACAGTTTCTGCAACTGCACAGCAACTACATCATTCTGTTTGGGCCGGCACATCGTGTTGCAGCAATAGTTTCTGCAACTGCACAGCAACTACATCATTCTGTCTGGGCCGGCACATCGTGTTGCAGCAATAGTTTCTGCAACTGCACAGCAACTACATCATTCTGTTTGGGCCGGCACATGGTTTACTGTAGCAACAACCACGTCTCTCTCATCACGTCGACCATCGTGTTGCAGCAACAGTTTCTGCAACTGCACAGCAACTACATCATTCTGTCTGTGCCGGCACATCGTGTTGCAGCAATAGTTTCTGCAACTGCACAGCAACTACATCATTCTGTCTGGGCCGGCACATCGTGTTGCAGCAATAGTTTCTGCAACTGCACAGCAACTACATCATTCTGTTTGGGCCGGCACATGGTTTACTGTAGCAACAACCACGTCTCTCTCATCACGTCGACCATCGTGTTGCAGCAACAGTTTCTGCAACTGCACAGCAACTACATCATTCTGTCTGGGCCGGCACATCGTGTTGCAGCAATAGTTTCTGCAACTGCACAGCAACTACATCATCTGTCTGGGCCGACACATCGTGATGCAGCAATAGCTTCTGCAACTGCACAGCAACTACATCATACTGTTTATGAGCCGGCACAAGGTCTACTGTCCAGTTCTTTCTCGTTGCGCCGGCAAATCGCGTTGCCACAACAGTTCTGCAACATTATATCTTGGAATATTCTGTATTACATAATTAGCACAGAATATTTTCTCTATAAGCGTATTACTAAGGCCCGTATGCACGTACATCCCCGCCAGCACTGCTAAACATGTTTATGGTCGAAATGAGTGAAATCTCAAAATATCAAAATCTTCGATGAACCGCTGCTCGCGAGCCAGGGATTATCGAAAAAATCAAAATCTTCGAATTCCATTTCTTCTGTTGAAAACATGCTCAGTAGTATCGTAGTGTATCTTCAGTACAATTTTGCAGCGTTTTCATTGCTTTTTAAGGAAGATAAATGACTTTGAAAATGTGAGATGATCCCCTGGGGATCCCCAGGGGATCGGAAGAAATAATGAATATTTAATCTTGTATAGCAGTAACCTGGCATCCATTGTGCGCAGGAATAAGTGTTGAGACCTTTATAAGCACGATAGAGAAGAAGGAAGAAGGATATCTAGAGCAGCGAGATATGGCGCTTCCCCTCTCAGATCCCCTCCCCTCCCCGGGGATGTACGTGCATACGGGCCTAAAAAGAGAGATGAAATTCTATATTTAATATGGTTTTTATGTAGCTCATCGGCATAAATCCTTCTTTTACTGAATCATAGTTTTGAAATATATCCCTAAGAATCCTTCTTTGCAGCATGCGTTCACCGGCTATCCACATCGAGAAGAACGGTCATTCTGTGAACGTAAATCAACCCGAAGGAGTGACTATTCTCGCAAATGGCCACGATACTCTTGTGACAGACGGTGATGCATCGAGCGGCTACGGTACGATGCGCAACGGAACCTCAGTGCCGGTATCCTGAATCTTAGCACTGGGCCCAAAGAAAGAGGCGGGCGATCATCTGACGGATCGTGCCGAAGTCTGATCTCTGCAGTGACTGCGTTTTCAGTTGCATTTAGCCGCAATTTCTTTACGAACGTTTTTTTTATATGCTGCGTCCAACTCTAAACAGCACAATTATTATGATATGCATTTCAGTAATCTTGCGTATTTTGTGTGGTTCTGAACCGAGCCGATGTTAATTAATCTAGCATGAGAGGCCTTAGAATTTAGATTAAGTAGCCTTGAAACGAAAACATTATTTATCTATACGCGTCACGAACGAACTGGTAATATTATGTGCTTTGACTTTGTTTTCGAATTTCCCCTTCAATGTGTACTTCACTTTATCTTATATGCTATAGGACGTGGAACCATAGGACGTAGTCTTGTTAACTTTGAATGAGAATATAATCAGTGATATTTTATTTCGTGATGCGTTGAAATGTAGCGAACAGAGTGACTCGGGACTATTCGTTGTACATATCCCGGTATCGGATCAAAGTGCTGACAAAATACGGCCCATTCGCTGTTGAGAATCTTATTTCGTACGCTCAACTACTTAAACTTGGTTTAAATATGGTCGTAAATAAATCTATTGAACTTCTGTGAATGATTTATGCAAATATTATCTCTCACACAGCAAATTCTTCTTTTTGAGCGATGAAGAAGAGTAGGCGAGAATTTGTGATCGAATTACACAAAGTAGATGCTATCGGAGAAGGAAGACATTACGCATTTGGTTGAGAGCACAAAGAGTTCGAAGTTTTGAAATCATATCGACTGCGAGAAGGGGGAAGGCCAAAAGGACTGATGCTCTGTCATTGACAAAACACTCAGCGACACGAAAATTTATTGCGACCTTAATTTGCGAGAAAAAAGCAAGAAAAATGAGCAGAATTCAAGTATCAAGGGGCGGGGTTTGCATACACACAAATCACATCGGGATTGGGGTGTATCGTTGAGTCTGTTTTTGGGAGGGTGCGAACGATGAGCGATAGAAAAGAAGGTCCCGTCCCCTTGTCGGCGCGACGACGTTGTGAAGACGTCGTCGACTTCTTCATCTCCTTAGGCGTGCATCTTGCAGTAAGGCTGACCATTTTTCGCAAAGAAGCTCTCTCCTTCCAAATTCGAATGACAGCGCTGAAATTAGAATCAACGGTGGACCTTGGTACAACTGTTCCTTCAGATCAATCAATAGTTTGAACTAACCGTGCAATTGAAGCAGTTCGAATGGAAAGCGTTACCCAACGCTTCCACCCACCTATCACCGGCCTCAATCGGATACTTACACGCTACGCATTTTGTGGTAAATAGCTGGTTCCAGTCTATAATGGTTGTCTTTCAAGTTAATGACTAGCCTGGGAAAATTTTGAGCAAAGGCTTACCCATTTCGCAGTATGCCATTCCATTTTCCAAGTAGAACGCAGTGTTTCCGAAAGGCTTGTGGCAGTGAGCGCAAACAAAGCAGGTTGGATGCCATTTCTTCTGCATAGCGTTCAGACAGTCCTAAAAATAGATAATATCTTAATTGAATCATGATGGCCAAGCATTTCAAATTTTATATGCAGATTTGCATCCAAGAATCCAAATCTATGTAAATTGCGCAGCTTTTATTCTGTTTGTCCAACTTTTCGCAAGCTACATTATTTTCAATAAAGCTCTTGAAGTCATTGTTTCGCGGTATGCCTCCTCACTTGTGCGCTACCCCAACGATACAATTTTCATGATAATAACAAGGTCATAGAAAGAAGAAATGAGCTAGACGAATGGCTCATCTGAACAGCCAAAACTGCATTAACTACTTCACATTTGTCGTAATTAATTTGAGAATTAGCTAGAGCATGCATAAAAAAAGCGCTACAAAGGTTGTTCCTTTTGATGTTTTCTGAAGTGGACCAAGCGAAAATATCATAGAGATGTCGACGATTTGTCACCATGTTTGGTCTCTTCCAACTGGAGACTGAACCGCAGCCTTTTTGCTGCAGCCGCTCAAATTCCTATCTCTTCGTCTAAATCACCTTACTGTTGAAGAATACTAGCGGCTACTTCATTGAATCGAAAGAAATGAAGAAGTTCTTTTCTAGACTTGCAGCTTGTCACATTACAGCTGCAAGAAAAGAAAAAGTAGTTCTCTACAAAGTGTAACTCACCGAGACGATTGGTTTCTGACATTTAGCACAGCGAGGAGCGATGTGAGCTTCAAAACATCCTTCGCAGTACTTCATACCATTTTCCTCAACGAATCCACATTCAAGTAGACGACGTCCGCAACCTTCGTAAGCGCAAACAAAGTGATCAGGGCACCATGCGAGTCCGGTGGCAAGGACATAGGCGCCTCTGAAATGGGATAGGTAATGGCTGAATCGCCGAGTTATTTTGATGCATTAAATTATACGAAATTCATCGACAAGACAACGCAAGCAATGCACAGATTGCGCAGGCCAACGCGGCGCGTCAAGCTAATGTTCACTCGGATAGATAAATGGGACAGAGGATACGCAGACAGCTAGAGTGCTGACTGAGAGGCATAGCTCTAACATTTGCCTCCTATTGTTAGGTAATTAATATAGCAAAAGCTTACTTGATTTGCTGCTTGCAGGCTTCGCAGACAGGAATACGGCTTCCAGTGTTGCTCGACATTGCCTAAAAAGTATGAATATTTTGGATCTTTGTGGAATGCAACAAAAAGTACTAGTTGACCTGTTTGATAACTGGTTGTTGTCCTCCGACAAGGGTGCCTCCGCTGGTAACAGTACGATGCTGCTCGAAAGTTGAACGATTGAACGTTTGACCTAAGACAAATGTTTTTCTTAAGCCTTTTTGAGATGGAAAATTGCGATAATTTTGACGCAAATGCCATTTGCAACCTTCTTGTTTAATATGGCTGAGTTGGTCTGCTATGAAATCACCGGGACCTCGATAGCGAACAGGGATTGCTTCTAGTTCTTCAAGCACTTCGGACAGACTGGAACAGCACGTAACACAATGGGACAAGCGACAAACACGAAGCAACGAAAGAACATTTGTGCGCGTTAGCACTCAAGGACTGCTGTAGCTCGAATTTATGGTGGGTGAAAAAATTGGAAGGAAAAGAAAGCACATGAAAAGCAGACAGCAGACTTTTGAATGCTAGAATGCAGAAAAAAAAAGCAAAGCACATACTCAGACAACCCAGAACTTCCGCCGGACAAGAAATATTCACAGCAGTTCCACAAATATTTGTTTACTATTTCAGAAATTTTAACGACGAAAATGTCCTACGGAACTTCCGGTCTTGTCTGATCTAACGATGAGATGAAACTTACACATAAAACATGAAATAAGCGCCTACCTATCAACTTTTACATCTGCCGTAGATTTTACATCACTTGGCTGGATTAGTATCTCTTCTTTGGGAGGTTCTACCTCGCTCGCCTTTTTGCTCGATTTGGCAGTATCCAAATTTCTCAAATACGCTATAGCGCTATCCAGTAGCACACTAAGCTGGTCCTGCTGTTCCTCCAGATTTTTCTGATGCCTTTCGATACATTCAATCGCCTTCTGTCTATCCGCTTCTTCCATGTCTCTCAAACCCTGCAGACGTTCATTCAATGCGGCCACTATAGCATAATCACGTTCCGCCTGACTTTCGTCGTTCAGAAGCAACATCGCACGCTGTCGCCACTCCTCTTTCGGCTCCTTCAGCTTCACTTTTTCTGGGCCAATCACTTCATCCTGTTCTTCCTTCCTTGTCAAATCTTCCTCTTCCTGAACCCACCGCTCATGCAAATTTCCCTTTTCTGAATTTGCAATCGAACCATTTTCGCTTCTGTTGTCGTAGATATCAGAGACATCGCCGTCATACTGTGCGTTAACACTATTTGAAACATCTCCATCACCTTCTCCACCTGCAGGTGGTGATTGTAATGGACTAGTGAGTGAAAATATATCTGTAACGATATCTGACTCATCCACCACTTCCGGAACATTCCTCCATGCGTTAAGGATTACTGTAGGCTTGGAGTCAACTTTTTCCTGAGCATCAAATTTGTCAGACTTGACTTCTTCATCTTCCTCCGAGTGAATTTTCTCGAACGGTCTGGGTGTAGTATTTATCCCAACTAGCAGCGAAAGGTGTTGTGACGGTTGCGGAGTGTGAATAACCGGGCGTGCTGACTCCGTTGACACCTCTGTGATAGTCTCAAGCATTATGTCCTTATATTGTGGGACCCTGAAAGGGCATGGAGAGAGAGCGCGAATGAAGTCAGAATCTATATCGTGAGAAGCACTGTCTGAAAAAAATTTTCTTTTGGGCAACTCAATTGTTGGGATGGGTGAGGTGCTCGAATCTATGGTTTGTGGCACATGCAGCGACGAAGAGGTTTCAAACTGATCTAGTGGCACATCCGCCTGTATCGAATGAGTGTCCCATTCGGGTTCGGACAAATGTATGTCAGGAACATCTGTCGAAACCTGGATTTGATGAGTTAATGGCTGTTTTTCTGCGGGACATTGAGTTTGGAACTCTGCGCTCAGTGGGAAGTTTGATGAGACAATTCCCTGAACTCTGGTAGTTGTTTCAGCTTTATCTAAAGATATATGAGCCGACACCTCCTCTTTGCTCTGCGGTGCTATGTCCTGCTTGATCGCTTCGTCACCAGTTATATTCTTCTCGAAGACTTTCGAATGCGCAATCTGTCCAACAGGCGCTGTAGCCGCCCGCTGACGATCTCTCCTTTGCCAGGTTCTACGTGCAGGCTTCGGTGATTCCAATTCCTCCCTGTCGGTTAGCTCGATCAGATCGTGAAGCGAAAGAGGCTCGTGCTCTTCTTTTTTTCGGAACTGCATAGCAGGACTGATCTGCCAGTAACGAGGTGTGGGCGTCGTAGGCGGTGGCGGCCATTGTCTCGCCTGCCGATATGATCGACGCGGTGACACGGCGCTGCGAACAGACGGTGGTATTCGAGATTCTGAAATGAACATGGACGGACATAAAACATGGACATGGGACAGGACTAATGGACACTAGACCGTAATCACAGAACACAAACTAAGGACCAGCAATGGGGAAGTGCTTAAGCGAATTTAGCTGTAAGCGTGCGATGTCACAAAAAATTCTCAAGTGCAAAGCCTGAAATGTCTCACAATCAGCTCGATAACTGGACTGATATCTTGGTGTCCCTAGGTCATGATTAATGAGGGTGTTTCGTTCACTTCAGTTGAACCCAAGCAGAAAATTTTTGACTAGATGACGAAAAATAATTTTAGCTTGGAGGCCTTTTCATTAAAAAAGGCTTGATGACGCTCTAATGTCATCCATAACTCACAATGTTGTCTAGAATGGGCTATTTTTGAACGTTATTGTATCTATCCATGTAAAAACAAGAAGCAGTTTCCCTCACGAAGTCATCTCGTTCTAAAAATAACGTTAACGTACGTTTCGGAGAAAAGACAAAGGTTTCACATGACATTTTTGCTGAAGTAACATCTTGAGTGATGTTGGAGCTGTACCTTCTCTTTTTCCGCTTACGAAGAAGTGAGTGATCTACAGCATAATATTATGTCCATTTAGAAATCTTCAGCTTCCTCAAATAAGAAAAATGTATATCTATATGAGAAGTGTATGCTTAGGTTCATTGTATCTTTTCCGCAAAAGCAGCTCAACCGTAGATAAATGCATGAAAATTTTCTCCAGTTCAGACGGGGTAATGAAATAAGCATTCTTTTTATAGCTGCCTACTCCAAAAAAATTATTTCAAGTTCGTCACAAGCCTGTTATTTAGATTTTTTTCAAATATACCCTTGTCCCTTCTCCATTAATTCCTATTGCTCTCTAACAAGCCGAATTTGCGTGATATATTGATGACGTACATCTAGCTCTCCACACATCAAAGACTCAAGGTTTCCTATGCGTTGAAGTTTAGTTGTAAAGCAGGAAAACTTTAAAGCACATCTGGCATAGGCCTTCGTGACAGCATGCATGCAGGTTTTTGACGCGGTATTACAAAGTTCTAGGAATCTGTTACTGCCTTTCCATCCTATACATTCTTCTCTTTCAAGCTATGCAAATCACTTCAGGGCAGCAGAAGTAGTTCGCACACAAATGAGTCACCTGCGGTGGTGATGTAATTTAACAAGACACCTTTTGCTAAGGAAGTGCAAAATTTGCTCACCTGGTGGCGGATTTGCCGGCACTGGTGGGGGAGGATTCGGTGACTGCTGATGAAGTACCTGTACCGGTCGTGCACTAACAGTACCTATGGTTGTAGTACTGCTATGTTGATGCCCGCCTTCGTAGTTTACAGCAGACGGAACTCCACGAAGTGATGGGCTGGAATAGTGTCTTTCATTTTTTGGTACTTTTTCTCGGTTGAGTGAGGCAAGGCACACCCACGAACTCTTGGAAACAGTTGGGTAACGAAAAAAGCACGTTCGGCGAAGAATTATTGCATAGTAGTCCAAATTCTTCTATTTTTACAATGCGATCTCAGCATTACACTGAGACACAATCTACATACTGAGAAAAACAGTATAATGAAAAACTGAGGAGGAAGAATAGAGTGGCTAAGTAACAGCATTACAGAGTTGCACTGGTTTACAGTCACCTTTTCCAGTATCTGTGCTATACATGAAAGAGTGATAGAACAATTCCACTGGCAGAATTTTTACTGAAAAATTCAAACAGCTGCTATTTAGTAGCCCAATAGCATGACTGTAAACCACTTAGACTGAGATGCCTTGAAAGCAAGCTGCTTTTCAAAAAACATAACCCCTCAATCGGGAACTTGTTTCAATTCCGAAAATGATATACATTGAGTGCATTTGTCAACTCCTAAGGCCCCGGACAGACTTCACGCGATTTGATCGTCGCGACTCAGTCGCCGACATTTCCATTCATTTTCATTTCACATTCAAAAATTTCGGGCTGGAAAAGTATCACAACCGAAATCCAAGTTGATCGGCATGGAATGATGTTGTAAAAGTTGTCTCAGTCGCGACGATCAAATCGCGTGAAATCTGTCCTGCGCCTAAAGGCGCGTTGCTGTACAAATCAGCCCTCTACAGTTTCGCTTTAGGACCAGCAGTAAGAGTAATGCAGCACGTTTGTTTTGCTATGCCTCTGCTAAGCTTATCTTGTTCGGGTTTCTTCAGGACTTGCGCTTTGAGCTGCATATTTGTTGCAACGTGATGGTTGTAATTACAAATGTTCAGAATATATCTAGAACTCGTCATCGATGTGAATGAAGTGGGACACAACAATGGTGAAACTGTCCCTTTAGCGAAAAAGAACAAAAAAGTGTCCAATGCATTGTTTGCAAGAAAAAAGGAGTTGGAATTGCGAAGAAGTTTGGCAGTTGATAAAGGCGAAGGACGTCAACGAATATTCAATGATTCAAGGAGCACAGGCAGTGAACAGGTGTTCTGCAGTGGCACATCAGCATCAGAACGATAGCACTGAGCGAAAGAAAACAGCATGGCAGAAGTGTAGAAAAAGCCAGCAATTGCTCGCTGTTCGATTTTTCGCAAAAGTTCGGCGGCCGAAATGTGCCTTAGCCATGTATATCACCTCACTTCAAACTGAAGGCTTAGAAAGGCAGGCCATTCCCTAGAGTTGGCTTTTGATGGAGTGAGAAGCAGAAACTCATGAGGATGTCTCACCTTCCAGCTGGTCTCGTGAGTTGTGCGTAATCGCAAGTTTCGCTGCCGCCCACTCAGCTTCAAAACTTTTCTTTTTCTAGCCTTTCTTAACCCATCAGAGTTTTTTGAGACATCAAGATTGAAAGTGGGTCAGCTCCGTCCTTATTTCTATCCACATAATTAGCAAAAACAAAATCTATTCTGCTGTTGTAGACGAAGAACGAGATCATAGTAAAAAGTCGCGAAATTAACAGAAAATATGCTATCATAATCATAGATGGACCGAAAAATACGCTCGCAGACATGCACGATAGGATGAAGGTGACTTGGAAAAAGTAAAATACTGAGGTTCGATAGTGAGTTCAAATGTAATCATCGACTATGAATTCAAGGTTAGTTGCCTTGAGAAAATGTATAAGAATAGGCAGCTGAGCCGATGCATCAGCAGCGGCTATCAAGCATCGGATGATGTGAGCTCGACCTCGTGCTTTTATACAGTCGAGGACTTTACACTTATATTATGTGTAGGCGGTGGTACTCAGCGATAGTAGTGGAAGTGTTCGAATTGTGGATGACCGGGGTATGACATGTAAACAGAAGCTCATGATTTGCGAGTGCAGAAGACAGATATAAGCAACAGAATCTTGTATCAGTTACTTCTCCAGCTTGAGGCAGAAATATTCAGTTATCAGTAACTGAATTGCAAAGGGGAATTATGCGGTATGAGTAATTTCTCATTTGTTGGCAGTGCAGCCAATAGGGCCACGCAGAATATGGAAGTACGAGTGATTAAGGCTAGAGTTTTCCACTCACCTTAAAGTTCCCTGTGTCTTCGGAGTACCGTAGTGAATATGAGTGGTGCTGTGCTGTGGTGTCGGGCTAACTGACAATGGTCGCCTGGCCAATACTTCGGGCTGATAAAACGATTGGCCGCCGTCAGCTGGACGGAATGGTTGTGCTGCTGTAGGCGAAGTCTTCCTGCAACCAAGGGAATTTTCCGGCTACAGGCTAATAGTGTAAAGTGTGTTTCTATTACGTGACTCTGAAGCAGCTACCTACTGAAGTTGATTTCTGAGAACCAGCTGTGTCGTTTTTTGAAGTAGACTAAGACTTTCTAGTGACAACTGCTACGGATAAAATATGAACAAAAAACCGATCGATATAGTCGATCGACTTTCGTTTCGAAGAATCCAGTGGCCAGGAATGCGTGGTGTACATATTGCTTTATTCTGCTATGTGTAATATCTTATGGGCTTCAGATTGTTTTTTGCTATATGTTCGTGTGTAAAATTCTGCGATACATGGGTGCAAATGTGTGCAGACTTTAAAAAATCGATAATTTGTAACTGCATGGTCGAAGTAGCGTGGTGTCCTTAAGCCTTATAAATTTTCGCTGTGCATAAAGGTTAACCGCTTATCATAAACACCAACACTTCCGACATGATAGCAATATACAAAACCTTTGTGATGAGCACCAAGTCTGCCTATCCTTGATACCTCATTTTAGTCTAATGAGCACCCTGTATCCACTCTGTAACCAATAATATCAGATCACCATTATTTGTATTGCACCGCCACCAGCATTCAGGACGCATTTCTAACCACCAGCTAAAAGATTAAGATTCATTTGATTTTGTAGAAGCAAGTCGACGAGAAAAGAAGATACGATGCACGGTTGTTGTTGGTGTGGATTACAGAATGATTTGACGTTGCCAGGAAAGGGGAGAATTTTCAAAATATTTTGTTATAAAAGAAAGTTTTGCATGTTCTCCCGCCGTTTTGACCATTTTCTACACTAAAACTTCCATTTTGTTTTGTGAGACAAGCCCTCTCAACACAACGCTCCAAACCTTCGCAAGGATGCAACGAATACATTGTACCACATTATATAATACACTTCTGTGAAGGTATTATTCTGAGGCTTTTTACTCGCAAATGGCTTCCACGTAGCGAAATGACACCAGCCCGATTCTAAAGGCTGATCGTATACGATCTGAGATCAATCCATGGAGGAACACATGGAGTTCGATAGGACAACCTACGACATACGCGCTCTCGTTGCTGCATGAATCACCACGTATGCTACTTCCACCCACTGTCACCAAATGGCTTGAGCTGAGCGTCTCCATACCTGCACTCATCTTTCATGTTCTTCTGTCACTGATATAAATCAAGTTGAGGTGTTGAGATGCACCTATAGCGCACAGCCAATGGCGCTGTTACAGTAGGATCGACATGATGCCGGGTAGCGCATGTAAGTATTTATAGCAATAAGTAGGCGTGGGTGAACCTTGCGAAAAACGAGAAGAAAATCAATCCTTGACTTATATTCAACACGGCAGTCACGCAATATCGATCAATTAATATAGATTAGAGTGCTTCTTAGTGCACAAAAACAACACATCTTTTCATCAAGCCAAAGACGGACACCATTCAGAACTTTTACGGAACAAGGCTTATGTCATAAGATGATGCACTATGAGACAATCTACTTTGACCTAAGAGGCAATCTGCAGTTTTTACAAAGGTAGCTCTCCAACTGTCTATCGCTTTTCCAGTACTAATACAAACCGCTTGCACGACTTCATGAGGAGTAAGAAGATTACATTTCTGCAAACGCAAGTCAAGGTCAACTTCAGCTTGTCTTGTATGTGGTATGGGGCGTAATGCGATAAAGATAGCTTGCGAAATGGAACGATTCATGTACCACTGAGTGATGGGATCTCCATTTTTTGACGGTCAACGAACCTCATATGATAACGGATGGACATTACTTACCGCAATCGTGAAACCCAATTTCTCGACGTCCCCATTTTTTCCTGCTCAAGACCCATGTTTTACCAGAAAATGACTTTTGAACATGAGCGCAAAGCCTGGACTCTTTGTGCTGGTTTGCAGATTCCTTGCCCACAACTCCTATATACATTAAGCATTCGGGATAGAAATCCACTTCTAGTAACCTTGTTTCTAGCACTGAAAGTTCACGTTTGATTGACAAAAGCGGATACACATTGCCTGTTTCAACAGCGGTCAAAGGTTAGGGTTATAAACATCTTGAGAACATTCTAGACCGCAGTACCACAAAACTCGAAGCTTTTGAGGGAGACAGCGTTACCTAAGCAGTCACTTTACTGGAATAAGAACGATTTTATATTGTTTTAAAGACTGAATATCCCCCAGATGTAAAATCGAGCAGAAATGCTATGGAACATTCAACTGCCAAGCTAAGTCATGTCTTTCGACCGAGCATCGAAGGTTAGCAGATTTTTATGCTCAGCACACGTGCTCATTCGTTGGCATCAGAAAGCTTTCTTTATTCAGAGATTTTGCTGAACTAAATGATATTTTAACGTATTGCTAGATGTGTATTGGTGCTAAATGACAATAAATTAGGTCTACCCGCACCATAAAGCCTAATTTCAACTTCTGCGAGAGAAATTTTCAGTATGCAAGCTTTGGCTTCTATTCTTTCAGCATATGGCTTAGCAAAAATCTAAGACGAAAGTGCTCATCAGAATAATTACATTCTAAATCACTCGGGGAAGTTCAATCGTCTATCATGGCCAAGTACATGACGTAATTTCTGCCAAATCAAATTACTTCTTTCCAGGTCTAACTTTATGCAGAAATGATTGCCTAAATTCGAGAGCGTTCATGGTTCGTGTAACCATCAATTGAAGAAAAAGGGAAACAGCTAGCATTTATGCTTTATTGCTTAGGGCAGAATGGCACGAAAGATCACACAGGGAGCAAGACGGAGTTTTTTGGACATAAATGTTTGTTAGCCGGTTAGCGATAAATTTTAGCAGCAGTGAATCGAAAGCAGCACTTTTTAATGCTTGAAGGAACAAGTAAACTTTATTTCATTCGCATGACTTTCTCGAAATTCTTCTGCTAAAATACCGCCTTATTAATATGCTACGTGTAAAAGATCTCTTACACAAAAAGCTTCCTGCAATTCGGATTAGGTTCAATCAGAGTTCAGCAGTCCATAATCCGAGAAAGAACAAAAATATGCCAAGCTTTTTACGCTCGATTTGTTTCCAGCAAAATCTTCCATCTCCATGCAGATATTATGAAAGGAACCAGATAGATCTCAGCACTAACTACATAGCGCAAGGCGAAGGCTTATCTTGGCAGTATGACTAGAAAATGATCATTTGATTCTGTTCACGAAGGTCAAAGCAAATTTATTACTCTAACGACTCAAATGCGTGCTTTATCTGCTGGATTTATCGATTTGTCTACTACATGTCTGCTTTAACTCAATTAAAGATGCAGATTATCAAACGGAAATGAGCAGCTTGGGAACAGCTTGTTATTCGGGTCGAAATCAAATGGTTTTTTTAGTTTTTTGCGAACCTATTCCAGTAAGCACAACAAAAATTCATACGGCGCACAACTTCATGGTGTGTAAGCGCGTATGCCATTACACTCGTCTTCGAAAGCTGATTCCGAATTCGACTTCTGTTTCTGCTAATCGTTTCTCTGAAAGAAGTTATGGCAAATTTTCGTGCCAAGTTTGGCCGCGCAAGGCAAATGGGATAGGAACACCAACATGGTAACATGTTAACATGCATTCATTTTCCATTCATTCATTTTTATAGGCACCTTTTGGAATAAATGTAGGAAACACTAGTATAAAAATGACTCCTCATTGAATTTTCAGAGTAAGGTAAGGTAAACATTTACCTCGAAGAAACCTAACTCTCAAAAAGAAGCTTAATCGAGGCAATGCAAAACTGAAAAAGGGATCTGCAAGGAACTTACATCTACCCGCATCAACTTGTGAGGCTATCGCACTAACTACTACACCACAGCTACCACAGCTAGTATTGGTGTTCCTATCATATCTCGGGGGGGGGGGGGGGGGGGAGGAGGAGGGGGCAAATTTGGCGTGAAAATCCTTCATAGCTTCTTTCAGAGAAACGATTAACAGAAAAGGAAGTTAGATTCGGATCAGCGTTCAAAGACAAGTGTAATGGTATACAATTCATTTCAAATGGCCACGGGCCTTCCCTTGCGAGAAAGGTGAAACTGAAATTTGACATGAGAATGCTGTTTCGCATTTACAGATTATTGAAATCTTTTTTTCGTTTCCTTGTACAACATCGTGTATGGCTTCCATCTAACTTCCAGCATAGCTAACAATTTTACATCTTTTCATTAGCGTGCCACTACTTCCCATGTGCTCGTTCTTAATTCTCATTTTCTGAAAATAGGCTTTTCTTGGATTCCGCTATTGATGGGTAGCTGCTAGATTATCTGACGTCTACCATAGTTGATTATGTCCTTTTAGTAGTAAAAGTAGTAGATGAATAAGCACAATCACACTTCTAAGTCATATTCATGGCAGCTCTTCTTTTAGTTAGACTTTATGCCTTTTTTCTTTTTTTATTCGCACCTGCACCGGCGAATGGTCTCTAGAAATGCAATCTTTCTCACCTTTAACCTTTGACACCTTCAACAGTATTCTTTATGGCAGCGCTTCTAATAGTCAGACTTTGTGTTCTATCATTTATTAGATTGTGGACCTGAACTAGCGAATGGTCTCAAAAAAAGCAATCACATTTTTCTGCGTTAGCCCTTTTTTGTTTTTGTGTTTCTGTATTTCTAACACTGATTTCTTTTCAATAATCTGTTGATTATAAACCCGACACCATGGCGCGCCTGTGGCGTATTCAAATAAGTAAATAAATAAAACTTAAATAAATAAGTAAAATGAACTACTCTGGTAGCTATAGATTATTACCAATTTGGAAGGGCATATTTGTGGCACTGACATTATTTTCTAACGTAAGATACCCATAATTTTGGGAGACGGTCAAGAGGCGCGATTTTTTCCAGCTGTCACCAACTCAAACTCCAGTTTGGTGCTATGCGAGTCTTCAAAAAGTACCAGATGAAGTGCATTGGCTTACTACCTGTCTGAGGTTACCACTAGCTGAGTTTGATGGCTTTTGCTGAATAATGGACCGAAATATTTACGGATTTGTTCTAAACTGCATTTTCATGGGTTTTTGACTTTCATAATTGCTGTTTTGAATTGATTCCAAGTTAGCAAGATTGAGCAACTCATGCAACTACCTAATATATCTCCTTCTAAAGTTCAAGTACTTCTAGAATGTCATAAAATACTTATTATGTGCTATTTGGTGTCCATCTGGCAATAAAAATCGCGCCTCTTGACATACACCCATAATTTTCTATCGGTCAAAGGTATGTAGCAATGTTACTATTCCAGCTGAGAACCACAAAACTTAAATTTGAGATGCAGTTCCTATAGAGCACATCTAACTGCACAACTCAAACGAACGTTTCCTTGTAGCTGTCTCTACTCTTTCATGTTACTCAGCTGATGTCACGCAACTGGTCTAACGCTTAATCACTCAATTAAAAGTTAGTAATGCATATTTGATGACGCTGATGGCTACCGTTACGTTTGTTTCCGGATCCTTCTCTCCACTCACAAACTCATTTGTCGTTTCGACGGCAAACGATAGCTCTAGCCTTTGGACCCCTACTACTAATTAGGCAACATGTGTGCTATAACTTCGGGTTCTTGGTGGCGAGATCAGCTCCTTTTACATTTTACGAAGAGGAGTGGAAACGAGGGGGAGGGGAAGGGGGGGGGGATCTGCGTGCAAATGGAACGACAATTTTATGCTACATTCAACCAGGTATACTACCTTAATGCTGATTTTCTGCGACAGGATATTAGCGATTCAGCTCAAATGGCGCGTTTTCTTTCATGCACATCACTTGGGTTATGGTTCCAGAATCTCGCTTTCATTTTTTTCCAACAAGAAAATTGTGATAAGACAGTTGATGAACATTTAAAATCAGTTTGATAATTCTGACGTATGATTTGATTTTGGGATCCTTTCCTTTTTGTCACTGTAGAAAAAATATGGAACAATTAAGGGTTACATCTTTGACGGAATTAGCGCTTGTCATTTGTCGATTTACGAAATTTCTATGAAGTTTTGAAGCGACTTAATCAGTACCTTTTCACTTCCTCAAAATTTTCTTGCGCATTTTATTCTTGAGTGAAAACAGCTTGATGTGCTTTAGACGTAAGACCTGACGACATTTTTTTCGTCTATCCCTAATGACTACTAAGCTTTCTCGAATTTTACTCAAGAAATTACGCATGAAGAACTGACACATGCACATATTTATGGGAATCGAGCATATTTCATTGAAATCTATCGATGTGATAATCTGACGATGATTTTGACTAGTATAGTGATGTCCTACTTCGTTCAACATCTTCCCCCTATTTTTTTTCAAGATCCTCCCTTCTCTGATAAAGTACTCTAGCTGCAAAAAAATTCTTTTGCTACATATATTATGTATGCAAAAAGTTCAGGATAGCTCTAATTCCACATTTGCTCTTCTGCTGATTGTTTAACGAAGGGGGAAGTTCTGTTAAGTTATGCATGGAGTTGTCACAAATAGTTATTTGCTCGTGCCAAAATTATAGCCTTGTTAACTTGAGTCTGCAAACATCCCATTTCAAATGCAGTCCAACTCTTTACAGTTACCTACATCGAGGAGAGCTTTACATTTGATTCATTAAGAAAGCAGATTATATTATGTTTTACTGCCATTTGAAGGAAAGCTAAGCGTATTATGACAATACTTAAGCTTTTGTATGGAGTATAATAAAAGATTTTTTCCTTATTGATATTTTCTCTTTTGCAGGGAGCTTGCAGCGCAACAAGTAAAAGCTCCATTATTCGCAAGTCATCAACGAACATGAAATTGCTTCTTTGATTTTTTTTAGCACTGACTTCACGCTGAGGTTCCACATAGCGTGAAATCCTATTCAACTGCTCAAATGCTGATTTATCTGTCTGTCTGATTACCCCCCTCACGCCACCCCCTTCACTCTTCTTCTTTTTTCCTCTCACCCCAAGTATTTCTATAAACTTATGTATGACTAAGCTAACAAAAGATTCATGGTGACATACTTCTCACTCCTCCTACATAGGATCAACGTTTAACGCTGATGATTCAGCGCCTGCTGAAGCAGGATCGTCCGTTTACACTCTTCTTTTTTTTCTACTTTGACATTCTCCTACACATCTTCCTACGTATCGTTGATTTTTATTCAGCTGTGCCACATCGCGCCTACGCTTTCCATAGCCACTTTTCCTCGTAGCGCTTCGCTACAGAAGAAAAACGACAATCACTTCGTACATCATGCAGGTTGTAGGCACTTTACGAACTAGCGGAAGGGGAAAACTAGACTAGTCGAGGGCTCGATAATACAAGCTATACTCAGCTCGTTGTTCAAATTATAGATCTTGATAGAAATGGAAGGGTTAAATTTTAGTTAAGACTGATTCTTTATTGATTTAAGCCCAGCCGTATTTGAGCTATAGGTGTAGAAGAACAATGTTGTCATTCAAAATAAAGTTCTTGCGCCTCTGAATACCTTCTCTCAAATATCTGAAGTCGTTTTCTAGAAGTTTGGTTAGCTGGTAAAGGTCGGAATACTTCGTAAAATGCCCTTCAAAAAGCTTTCCTTCACTTCGGTTGTGATCAAAATCAGCATGAGGCAAAAAACTTTCGCAAAATTTCGGTAGACATTTAATACTTCAGCCCAACAAAAATTATATTGCAAGTTTATATTTTACTTTATTCTCCCACCCCATTCCATATTTACTCGCCTCTTTGTATTTAGGTAATTTGTGAAGTGATGCATCGTTAACGATGTATTTTAATAGGTAAAATATTCTATTAGGTGTGGATGGTGAAAATGCCTCTGCAGTAAAATTTTTGCAAGAGAGTAACAACACATTGCCGCCGAGATAAAAAGTGTGTTATAAACTAACAATACATCACTTGCATATACTTTTACATTATCGCAAAGCTGTCTTAGCATATCGAAATACCAGGCCCAGAAAGCAAAAATTCGACCCGTTTTTGAAAGCTCTGAACGGGATCAGAACTGTTTGACATTCACACACTTCTATATACCCATAAGGCTGTACTTGTATGGGAACAATGGCGCAATATGAGCTTATAAAATTTATCTTGTTGACATTTTTCCAGCTTCTTCTGTGCATTCGAGAGCTGGATACATTAGAGATTCTCCCATCTAAGAGCCGAAATAATAAGCTGAAATGTATCTAATACCTCGATTGCACTCAGGGAGCTAGCTCAGCGGGTTGGATAAGAAGCAAAGATCAACCATAAAATTAGGAAGAAGGCGGATGAAAACTAATGGAAGGTTGAAGAAAAAAGCCTAATGATCAATCCGAGAGCATAAGAAGCTGTATAAAAAGTCTCGCGAAAGTCGATCTTTTTAAACTGCTTACTGGTTGAAACCTCGATGAATTTCTACCCTTTTCGGTACATATCGCTTTTTCGATCAAATATACGTCCGGCTTAAGCGGCATTTATCCATCCAAAAACGTTGAGCTAAGAAAACTTAGATTTTAAACTTGATGATAATAAAACTAGACCAGACATAGAACAGTACTTCATATTTACCTATTCGGACTTCTGCTATTATAAGCATTTTGATTCAGCACATACTTCGTTTTGATTTCACTTATCAAGGACCTTCGCACTTTTCTTATCGTATCTCCTTGGTGAGTGCAAAATAACTAAGCATTGAACTGAACTCATTTTCCCTATTAGGATCATTGAAAGTGCTTGAGAAGATCGCGTTTTATCTGATCTAGACGATCCTCCTTGAATGAAGGGGAATATTACACTTTCGTCCAACCATTTCTAGTAGGGTCGTCCGAGATTGCAGACTTTAGCGTTTTCCATTCGAAAACCTAACGTCGTCTTTTTTGATCCATGTATAGCAGAGTACCCTTTTCCATTAGAGGAGACATAGACAATGATTTTACGTGGTCCTAAACTAGAGCCAAAAGCCAAAGTGATGCCCTGCACTCCTGAACACCTACGTGAAGCCACCTGTTCGAGTGAAAGATAACTTTTTGTCATTATTTTACAGCATAGCTTGTCAGCAATCCTAAGCATGAGTCATATCGTAGTTCCGGGAAATTTTTTTTAACCCCTTGAACTCTTTTAGGCAAGGAAGAAGAGGTTCACTCACTGTGTACTATACGTGAGTAGGTACATTTTGGAAGTAATCGACGACAATGGCTAGAATGTAATTCCATAGGATATCCAGCATACATATTAATAGCTTCTTGCTTACCTTTTCTGCCTCAGAAGTATCCGACACTGACTCGAGCGCGAATTTGTATTCGTTTTTGTATCTCATGACATACACCGTATGTCTGTTATTCAAGTACAGAATCCCTGTGAATTTCCATACTAAACTATGACGACTTTTACTCGAATAACACTTCTAGTCTAGTAGTTTTGAGCCAGACCTTTCCCAGAAATTTTCCTGCATAACAATGTGAACGCGTAGTACTAATTTGCGACTTGGAGCGATATTACCTTTTCCCATGGGAGATTATGAGGTAATTCACTCCCTGTTGGCCACTCACTTAAGCATGTTTGGTGTTTGGCAGTGACATTAGCTAAAGCCTTTCAAGGAATTCTATTGTTACTGTAATTACCAAATAACTCACGAAGGAATATTCACGCTGGTTTTGTTCCTTTCCTTATTCATGAGCCACTTATCAGAACCAAAAGTTTCCTTAGAAAACGAAAAGCACAGATATATTCCTGAATTCAAGCCTAACATTTGATCTGGATCCATTTTTTTACTTGTCATTTCCATTAGGCATTTGAGAATTTGTTTTTACGAATATTATTGCCATTACCATTTTTGGTAAGCAACGTAATGATCTCGCAATCCCAAGGTATGAGGTAATGTGAGACTTGTGTGAGAGAATGTGATGCACTATGACGTTAATTCTTTTTATTATTATGTATATAAAACTTACGCAGCCAGATTTGGGTTCATTGCTGGTCCAAGTCCCCTCTTCTGTTGTGCGTGTACGTCACAGTAGAATTTGTCTAAATTAGGCATTTGGGAATTTGTTTTTTTAGAATTGGTGAAAGTTATAAAATATCATCAAGTAAATGCTTTTGACGATTTAGCAGTAGCTGAAGAATTTCCGACTACTTATTGCATCTACAAAGATTTTAAATTTAGATTTTCTCAAGAGTACCTGATTTTCATATCTTTCTTGAAATTATACTTCTTCATATAGTATTCATTCCTCTTTATTAGAGTTTTCTCGTGCCATAACTCTCATAGGAAGTAAATAAAGAAAAAAAAACATAAAATGATAATGACTGTCTTACCTTCGATAAAGTGATGTCCAATGTTACGAAGATTAGCTCCACAAGTTGCACAAGAAAGACAATCACCATGTAGGTCGTGTCCAGCAGCGCGGCACATCACTCCACTAAATTTTGAAAATTATTGAATCGGTATTGTCAATATCCTTCCTTCCTTCACGAATGTTAACACTTCAAATCATACTCCTTCCTTTTTCCCTAAAAATTCCTCAGGATTTTTTGCACGTGCTATATGAAAATCCCGAATGTAATCCTTCAAAAAAATGCTCACTCGGTATTGTCTATTTTTTCCTTCCAAAGTAATATGTACAAATCGCTCTCTCTTTTTCTTATATTCTCTTATTTTCCGAAACTTTTTTACAGGTTCAATATGAAATTCTTACATGTGATCCTTCTGCTGATATGGGTCATCGTTGGGGTAAGTTAACCTCCTTGTACATTTTCGTAAAGAGAAATTGTGCAAAACTTTGATTTTACATCCATGAGATCTTCTTCAACGAAAATTACGAAAAAGTTGATCCTTGAGCTATTTGAGATAATTGACGTAATCCTGGTTTTGTTTCCTGACTCACAATCAGTCATCAAGGCCTATATTTATCTACTATATATGTATAACCTTGAGATGATCTATGCAAGTTTTGTTAACTTCATATTTCCAAGCTTAGACTAAAATAATCCACCACTACGTTGCTAACTCAATTACGTTGATCTTGACGAATAATGATCGCACTGATCTTTCAATCCAAATCTAGATTGACGTAGATTGCAAGATGCATTTAAGTAGAATCATTTTTGAAGTTTTTATGGCTATAAATTTCTTGGAGGACATGATTGGCTTTGAAGGGAATAATTACGTTTATTTGATTTCCAGGAAACTGACGGGTAACGTATATTTGAAGTCAAGTCAAAAAATCACAAGAAAGCGAAAGTCGGGACAAGATTTGAAGAAAATTGTTATTTTCAATTTCAAATCAAAGTTAAAGGCTTTAGTGAGTGATAGTCCAAAACTAGACTCAAATCTTCCCGAAAATAAGAAGAATAACAAGCTTTATAAAATGTTGTGTGTATTGATAAATTCAATTTTTTGCAACCAGTACAGTCCTCCTGCATACGTGAATTCCTTTGTTATTTCCCTTATCTCTCGCACTTACTGACTATTATTTGAGATATTAAAAATCTTCTAACTGACTCGGAATTTTCCTACTCTTACAAGACTAAAAATTTTACCCAATCTCCTTTGAGGCGTAAGTCTTGGTAAAGGTAATATTCAAAAATGCGAACGTTTTTTAATGGAAGGTTTGCAAATGCATCGAAAATCGAATAGGATATTTCTCACTTTTCATAGAATTGACAGTTGTACAAAAAGTAAATTCAGATCTCTAGCGCGGGACCTGCACGGGTGAGGAGGAGCTACAACGATGAATTGGGACAAAATGGTGAAGCTAAATCTGATTTGAATTTTTTACATATTTTAAAGCGTAAGTATCTTGTCAACGATCACTGCTAGTCTTTTGTTACTTGTTGTTTGAATTTACTTCAAAGCCGAATTTTACTGATTCTCATTTAGGTTACTATAATATGGGATTCAATAGTGGCGAATCACTACCGCCTCGTCGAGCACGTTTCTATCGAACTGGTGGCACGATTCTTTTGGGCTAAATACATCACCAAGACATGGACTGGTGAGAAACAGCCTTAGCTACGGAGCCCTTGTCCTCCCCTCTCCCCTTACTATGATCTCTTCCTCCCATAAGATGTGATGTGTGTTTTTATGCCCATATTGCCACTAATAAACCTTGCTTTTGTTGCTAGATTCAAACTTACAGTATAGGTCTGCTGCAGACGTAGCAGACAGGCAGTCCGTTGGGATTTGGGTGATCGGATAAGTTACCTGGAGCAACAAGAGTAGTTTACCCTACTAATAAATCAAAATTTGCTTTTGCTTTACCTCTCGGTCTACCTTCTTCCTCCTTGAGATAGCGTAAAGTTTCGCTGCGCAGGTAAGCTGGTTGATCACCATTGTGTCGAGGAACATTGGGACTAAAATGAAACACCTTATCATAAACTTAGCATATCAATCTTCTGCTGAAAGAATGGGTATATGGTGTAACTGCACAAGCAACGGGTGTTGAATCTCGACCGTATAAAACTGCTCTAGGAAGAAACAGAAAACTCAGATGATTATTATCTTTTCGCAGTTTGCACAAATCTTCAACATTTTCACACATTTCCGAGATGAAGTAATGGAGATTCCCACACATTTCCGAGATGAAGTAATAATAAGAGGCACAATTTTATTGCTACAGTAAGTTTCGACCCGCTTTACGCGGAAATTGGATTTGCGGGCGTCCGCCTCGCAACGGTTCGCACCGCTTCGCAGCTACAGTATATCATATCACGCTGGGAACCCAAGTCTCTTTATTCTCCTTAGTCTTTGCTTGGCAAAATGCCAGCGCCATGCGCTCGCGAAGCCTCCAGCGATGCGCACGCGCTGCTCCACGTAGAATGTTTCGCCTAATCCGGGGTGAAATCGACTGTACCTCTTTGAGTACTTTTTTGGCAATCAATTCTCATAAATATGATAGTGAAACGTAATCAAAATAGAGCAAACTTACAAATTTTACAAGCTACAGCAGCGCAACTCTCGACAAGTTCATAATTTTTGAGGTAAACTAGGAAGAAAAGCGTAATTGTTTCATTTTTTTTAAAGCAGGTCAGTAATCCCGCAAAATACTGTTCATATTGGAAGAAAGATTTCAACTTCAATAATCAATAAAATGTTTCGATAACACAGAATCCATACGAAGAAACAGGCTTCCTCGGTTTCGCGTTACGGTCTGGCGATCAACAGCACAAGGGCATTAGAGATAAAAGTAATTTTTTCAACCTAATTACAAACACACAACTTGTTATAAATCTGGTCGATGCTGCAAAACTATTAGTACCAGATTTGTACATAATCCTTGCACAAAAAAATCCATAAATTGTTTTTGGAACTTGTCCTAATACAAATTATAAAGGGGTACCAAAACAGTGTCGAACGTTTGATTGCTATAACCCTCTAGCCCGAATAGTTTTCGCGGATCTTTAAGTAGCATATTGTATGGTTGGTTTTGTAAAAAGCAGTACAAAATGAAGCACCCATCTCTTTTTATTACTGTAGGATTATGATTACAATTTAGCACGCTACTGTCATTGCAAACAGTTACTTTGTCAGGAATTCAAAACGTTTCATACTTTTGTGTTAAGGTTTCAAGGCCCTCTGATTTTTAGTAACTGACTTTGCACACGTTTATTGACATGCTTATTGAACAATTTAGGTTATCAAAGTTCGGTAATCTTTGGGGCATCCGCCGCTGTTCTATGTATTCTAGGTACTCTTGTAAATTTTGAAGTAAAGACTATCGAGCGAAAAGTTCAAATGTAAAATCAGTGGTGCTTGTTCACCTGATAGCAAACTTTTTCAAACGGTTTTTTCCAGTTTTTTCAAACGATTTCAAAGGCAGCTCTCACTGGCGCGGAACTCTTCCATAGGCTTGTACCGTGAACCTACAGTGACGAGGACAGGTCACTAACCCATTTTCTATCCTAAATCTAAATTGAAGCCAGCCCTACCATATGGTTTTAACAAGAGAGTTTTTAGCCCTTCGATACATTTCTGGACCATTCTATGTACGTTTCATTCAAGTATGATGTAATTCTTTGTATATCTCGGCTTCAAAGCGCGAGCTGCAAAATATACTCTCCTTTCCCAGGCTGTGTTATCTCCGAGCTAATCTTTGACAGAATGCAACGAATGCGCCTTCGACGCGCAACACAACGGGAGACAACGTCGAGACCAAACTCATAGCAAAGCATTGTATGATCGTCAATTCTTCGAAAGATTCATTTCATCCTTTCGTAGGGAATAGTTTGCGCTTTTGTGTAATCTAAGAAATTCAACCTTTTTTTACATCTTGTCTAATCAGAAGCTTAGCCAATTGTGCACCTGAATAATTTCTTGGAACTATACTTCAAGTGCGTCTTTGTAGTCGCTCAAAATTTGGGCAGTTCTACTAACAACTTCATTTTATGAAGTATTCTTGAAACAATTAACTCGCAAAAAGCAGTTTGATTCTTTTCATTTACTAGTGTATAGGATTTTGTAGTGACAATTTATCGTTGTGTTTTAGTGTGCAATTATTTCTAGCAAGTGTTTAAATACTCAAGTCTGGGTTTTGTGGATAAACGTGCACCGATTGATTGTGTTGGTTTCACCAAATTTGATATGAACTTGTTTACTTGTATTTTGAATGCAGGGAACGCGAAAGCTAACCTGCGGCCGTATTCATCAACGAAACCCAGTGGGTTCCATTACCCAGTGTGTAAACTTACCCATGGGTTCGCTTACTCAGTGGGTAAGCTTACCCACGGTCGGTATTCACGAACGCTCCGCCGCTGGGCTAGCTTATCCAGCAGCGCTTTAGACGTCGAGGGTGCTTGAGGTCGTAATTGCACCATCTGCGAGAGACGCCTCAAACTTTTGAATTCTCATTTTTGCTTCAACATCGGCGGTCTACTTTGTTTTCAGCCTTCTTTCGGTGCCACTTACTTCGATTCTCATATCCTTTTCATTGGATAAGCTGTTTTCTTGAAACTTTCGCTCCTGAAAGTTTATTTTTTGGGATTTCGATGTCGGAGGTGCTGGGTGCATTATATTGTACCATATTTGATGGCATGGTCCGGACTTTCTCGAGAGACACAATTTTTAATCGCCAACTTTGGACTTTCTGTGACCGTCAAAGATTATGGAAGAATTGAGGTAATAAAATATGTTATTGAGAAATAGGATCAACGGAACACTTGATAAAGTTGGAAAGATACAACACCTCCACAAAGGCGAAAGGGTTAGGTCTTGTGTACTGCTACTTCTCTTGAAAACCATGAAAGGACCACCTCAAGCAAGAAAAAGTCGAAAACCCCTTACCAGAAGTGCGAAATGGGAGAAATTCCATCCAACCCCCTACTCAGATAAATGCAAAGTTCATGAGAGCAGTAGAATTAGTATTGATAAGAAACTATCAACGCTTATTCCTGTCAAATAATTACAAAAGGTCTGGGAAAACATTCTTCGAACTATTTGAAAACAGACGAGAAAAGAAACAAAAAAGAGAACAACAGAAAATCGCAAAGGAGATTCGCTTCTTTGAATTAAGACACAAGAACGCAAATCTCCCGCCGAAATCCTAGCAGCATTGCTAACAGAAGAAGCGCATGGAGCACATCATGAAGGATTAGAACATCCTATCGCAAAAGTTTGGGAACACTATTGGATCTTCGAAATCTGTCAACAAGAAAGACAACCATAGCCAGTTGTTTTCAATGCTAAAGATTCAATAGATTACCACACCACTCTACCCATTGGAAAGACAGTGGAAATCCGATATTTGGACACCGAATTAGAAGAAACAATACTGCAACTCATTTTGATAAGGACACAATACGCACTTTCCAAGAAACCGCCAATATGATCGCCGAAAGCAGTATCAAAGACAGCCTGGCTCGCGATCTTTTGAGCAGAGAAGGATGACAGAAACTGAGAATACCTGAGGAACATCGCAATGGTTGAAACAGTGTTATGAATATTATTTGTACGAGATAAAAAGTCAAGAAATAAAGTATATAACTCACGATCGTTTGTGAAAACATGGTTCAGAACAATTTTCCTTTGTAAGAAAGAGTCCGTCATAAAAAAGTATAACGTTACTGCAATCTTTCCAACACTACATTGTAAGCATCGGTGGCGGCGTAAGCCTACGGGATTCGATAGGAATGTAAACATCAGTAGAAATGCGAGAAGTTATGATTCATCCGTTCAGGGCATGATCGAGCCTGCGAAGCCGAGGGAGTCGGGCTAGAAATAGGATGTCGACTGGCTGCCCGAGTTTCCCCTCCTTGACCACAGGCTGATGCCTACCCAACCAGTAGTCCACATCCAGTATAATAGTCTTCTGTCGTTGTTGTATTCATTCGCTTCTCGTTTCATGAGATAATATATAAACTATTAGTATGGCTAATGTTCGGGTATCTACCAGCCTTAGCCGCTTCCACGGCACCTACGTTGAGTGGTAGCAGCGAGTGGTTATTAGTGTTTATTTATTTACTCGCCTATTTATTTATTTATTTAGTCATCTGGTTTTCTCAAAATTCTTTTTTCTTTTCCTGTTGTGAATTATTTTGGGTTTTCCCATATAGTCCTGTGCCGCGTGGCGCCTGTCGTGGCTGTGAGAAACCCTTTGGCAGTACTTGTGGCCGAGCCGAACATACCTCAGCAGCCCTTAGAGCGCCACTGCCGAACCCTATGATCCCCCAGTCCCCTATGGACATTGTCGAATGATTTTTGGCATCCGTTCATCCATGTGCACCCTTGGGGTCACTTGGTCCTCCCTCGAACCTTTAACTGGTCATCTCTTCGAAAGCGTGATATCACCAATGATATGCCCGACTGGACTACCGCCACATCCCCGATTCCGGCTACCTTCGCTACTAATTCGCCAAGTCACTCTCCCCTTCGTCAACACTTCTCGCGTTGGCACGTCTGAGCCAATCCCTGTCATCGAACTACAAACGTTAGAAGCCGCAGTCGCTTTTCGCCATCATTCGCAAAATATCATGAACGAACTTCTGAGTGAAAACTATCGCAGTATCGAAAATACTCTTCCACCCACATCCAACGGCAAAAAGCCCACTCTCCTTTTACCCGCTAGTCCGCCACCGTCGACCTGTCTTGTATCAAATCGTCGTTGTCAACCGAGGACGAGGTGTCATCCTCGAAGCAAAGGACTTTTTTGTAACTCGCCCCGACCGTCAACAGCTCCAATGTTTACTTCTCGATCAGTTTGTTACGAACATACAATCTAACAAGCGTGGATTTGATAAGACTCTAGCTTCCGTCAAAGATCTTGTTTGGGCTACGCGGTCGAACCGTCCAACCAGGCCATACGCAATCCACAGGCTGCCTGAGACAGTGCTCGGTCTCCTCGTTCCCATACGTTAGACAACCACGCCCGGTTCTTCTTTCGCGCACGCGAGTACGACTTCATCACGCCCCAAGAATCCCGCATTGTCATGGGTCACGTCATCAGGATCCTCTACAAGAATCAGCTCCCTGTCGGTTCTCCGCAGCCTTCGCTGGAGCCGACGCCGTGATAGTTACTCCTACAAATTTGCTCCTTCGATGTGAGTCAATTGGTCGACTATGAGCTGTTGTCAGCACGATCTAAGCATAATCTTTCCAGCGATACGTTTTTCAGAGCCAGCCGCATCGGTAAAGTCCAGAAAGACTCTATGCCAATTCATTCGGGATACCGTGCCATGCCACCTACACGAGGGTATTTCGCCTCTCTCGGTCAGCAAACTCGAAGAATCTCAACGATAGTGGCTCAGGGATTACGATAGCCCTTTTGAAACTTTTTCCACAAGCAGCGGCTAGCTTTCAACCATATGAACCAACTCTTCGGCTCCGCCTGCTCTGCACTGGTGGCCTATAAGTCGGAAAGAAACGATAGACGCTCCCATCTCATCAAAGCGGTGATACGCTCCCTTCAAGTATTTCCATTGCAAATTAAGTTTGTTCTTACTGGCGTGGTCTCAGAATCGGCTGGGACAAAGGGCGACCGGTTGAATCCTGGATTAAATCACCATACACCGAGCCCATGTCAGTTCCGTAAGCCGGGAATTGTCAGTCATAACAGTAGCCCCCTCATGGGCCCATCAAACATTGGTCAAAGCAACGACCCGTTGCGGACGAAAGTTGGCTACTAGCTACTACATGCCGGCCGCCGTTTGTCTTGGCAAGGTCGGAATCGCGGCTGAGCCCGCGTACGAGATTGTTTTCCGAATGGATCTTTTCGGTCAAATTCAAGTCGGCTCGCCTGCACACCGCACGCTCAATCGATTGTGCTCGGCCACATCAGTTACCTGTTCACCATTACCGGAGAACCGCGTACAACTCTTACCGAACGAAGCCCACTCAATACTGATAAAGGACACTCGCACAGCACTTTCGCAAGACCAACAGAGGGCCATCGAACTCGGATGTTCCAATTATTCAATCGTCGACATCCAATTCCGCCTATAGCACCGGTAAGACTGTCGTCGATGCATCATAGCAGCACGACTCGCTCTGGTTAGCAACTGAAAAAGTAGTCAACAGCTACCAACACCGCCGTAGGCCAATTCGCGCGAACTCTCCTTCACAGAACTTTCGCGGTTAAACGTGGTATGATTCCTGTCAGACGCTGCGGCAGCTGACGACCGGGATTCAGTGAACCTGGACAACATTCTTAAGAGATTAGGCGTCGACTTCGCTGCCTCCCTAGCGGCCCAGCTCAAAGTCATCCGTCGTCGTTTTGAGGATGTCGGGAACGCTTTGAGCGTTACCGCGATCGCATACACGAGGAGTTCACCGACGAGGAGCGCGAGGACTACACTATGGCGGAGAAGGATGTATCTCAGACCATCTCAAACATGATCGCATTAATGTTTATCCATAGGTCGCCGCATGCAGCAGCAGATGACCTCCCATTGCATTTCTTAGTAACGAATGTTTCGGGCGCACCCCCCGTTTGAACGACCTCCCAAATATGTTCGTAAACCAGGTGCGCTCCAGAACGGAGCCACCGCGGAGGAATGATCCCTCCTTTTGGACTCTATGCAAGTGCCTAACGGTGTCACCCCGTTCCTATTTCTAAACGTCGATGGCAGCTCCGTAAAAGCCCCAGTCGCTCATACTCCAACTCGACAAAGACCGAGCTCTGCCGAACGATAGTCATTCGTCTATTGGGCCGGCACATAAATCCTACGGGGAACAAATGCGAAGATTAACCGAGTTTGTCCACGACAATCACATCGAACTCGCCATCGTCGATTCGATCCAAGGAAGACAAAAGGAAATTCTCATTCTTCTGACAACACGCACCAACTTTCAGCCCTCCTCAGGCGACCTCCTAAATGACCAAAACACGTGCCTTAACACGTTGCAGGGACGGATTTATTAGAAATAGGGGAGGTGTAAGCATTGGTAGATTGGAAATAGGAGAGGTGTAAGCATTGGTAGTGGCGTAAGCCTACGAATTCAGTAGTAATGTAAACATCGGTAGAAATGCGAGATGCTATGATTCATTCCGTTCAGGGCATGATCGAGCCTGCGAAGCCGAGGGAGTCGTGCTAGAAGTAGGACGCCGACTGGCTGCCCAAGCTTCCCCTCCGCGACCACAGGCTGATGCCTACCCAACCAGTAGTCCACATACAGTATAATAGTCTTCTGTCGTTGTTGTATTCATTCGCCTTAGTGTATTGCTTTGTTCTGTTTCATGGCAAAATAGATAAACTGATAGCGTGGCTAGTGTTCGGGTATCTACCAACCTTAGCCGCTTCTACGGCGCCTACGTTGGTATATTAGGTTTGAACACTTCCCTGTCAATCTGTAAAAGCGCGATATGGCAACAATAGCTCTGCCTTCCAGAAACTTCCATGATTTCTCTCTCTCCTTCAAACCAAATGGACGCGTTGAGCTTAACGGAGCTTAAGACCTTCAAAACTTCTGGTAAAGATTTTCAAGACTTAGTATTCGTCCACGATATACCACCGAGTGATCACACTATAAAAAGGCGATGCAGAAATTTACACGACCAACGCCCGTATTGAGCCTTAGCAAAAATACTAGTGATGTTTAATCAAGCTTCACAATGCGCTTGTAGAAATTTTTTGTTTTTGTAGACTGACCAAAAGTGCTCAAAACTATGTTAAACAACATTGTGATACAATTATGAGGTATGATTAGAATATATGATTGGTTGTATGGCAGTGGCGGACCGCGACTTGTTTATTTGTGAAAAAAAATTAATTTTCAAAAATTTTCAGAAACTTAAATTAGCCTTGTATAAAAATTTTCTGATGGACCGCCAGTGATTCAAGGCAGGGCCCGGCACGTGTTGGTTCGGAGCATTTTTGGAAACGAAGTCCGCAGGACTTCGCAAAAATTTACGAAGTCCCTCTTGACGTAAAAATCAGTAGGGAAACCGGTATTCAATCAAAATAATAATAAAAAAGCGAAAAAAGCGCATTTTGAGGTACTTAATATATCAAAAAAGCAAAAAGAAAACATTTCGAGTTGATTAAAGGCTCTGTCATTGGGTAGGGTACCATTTTCGTGCTCAGAATGTCAAAGACCTCCTAGGCCAACCAAATTTGTGGCCCCAACATCTGGAGATGCATTTTTCGCCACATAGTTCAAAGGACACCGCATGTAACTGGAGCGCAATATCTGTAAGCGCATAGATTTACACTACTTTTGGCTCAAAAAAAGAGGAGAGGCAATGGTTTGATTCGCTTTCTTCACTAAATGATAGATTTTTGACCGTTCTAATTGTCCAAGTCAAAAAAGCCAAAACTTATGTAAACTCACCGATATTTATGCCCCGAACCAACCCAGTTGGTTTGGTGTTGGCCTAGAAACCAACAAATTCGGGAACGGATATGAGGACACATAAGTTTTTGAAACTTTTTACATAACATAGTTTGGAGTGATATTGTATACACGTAGCCCAAATTTGGAGCCATGTGATTGTTTCTGCGCTGTAAACAAGCCATTTGTTTGTTTGAGTCTTGCGTTTGAAATTCGCGCGCTTGCAAAAGAACACGTTCAACTCGTAAAGCCTGTAGCCATGTTCGTCGCTTTTTTGACAGCGCTTCTCCAAGGAAGTTATAAAAACGATATCCCCGCTGCTTCTAACTCCAAAAACGAAGTTCAATTTGACCCCAGACCATCTGTGCCGGGCCCTGATTCAAGGTTACCTTTTTTTTCACATTGTTAGCACCAAGCAATTTTCTCAAGTTTTATAATTCTACCAAGATTGAAATCAAAATGACTTGCTATTCCTTTGCTTCTTCAAATGTGCTTGAATGGCATGGCGAATGAAAAAAATCGTTTTGGTACCGTTAAAGTTAGGAAACATTCCGACCAAATTTAATCTCATAGAACGATACGAACCAGGAGTTCCTTAACTGAAATTAATTTTGGTGCAGACTCGCAGAGACTTATTATGACATCTTAGAAATTATTCAGCATTAAAAAATTGTGCTTTGCTAAATTAGTGAGAAGTACAAATCACTGAGTAATATATTGAAAGGAGGCTTGATTTTGCCAATTTATGCTCCGTCACCCTTCCTTGTTTCATTCAAGGTACAAACCTGCAAAAACTGCGAGGCATGCCCACAAAATTTATAAATGCTTGGTTAACTCCCAGCCTTTTATCTAATAAAGCTATTTTGTTGCTTCTAACCCTCCTCCCCAAAATTATTCTCTGCGACCGCGGTTGAAAATTAGTAGGTTTGTTCGGTCTATACATTTGGGCAAAAAGGTTTTTGTGGTGAGCTTTTTGAATAGTCAGCTGATCCATTTGGAATTCGAAACGACTAATTTCCACTGTCAAACGGTTGTGCGAGCAGTTACCACATAATTACCCATAACATCGAGCAGTAAACGGTTTGTTCCCGAAGCAAAGGTGAAACCGAATGTCGAGGTCGTTTTAAATAGTCTATCATTGAACTGGAGCGTGACGAGCCGGACAGAGATACTCAAATCCACACTGATAGGATTAAGAAACTCACATTCCGTTATCGATAAGGCCCTGGGTTTGCTGGACGTATTGTTCGGTAGCGCTTTCGTTCGAGTAGAGGCCCATTGGACTGTTATATTGCAAATGTTTCACTCGTGGATCAGTGTTGAACGGAAGTGCAGCTGCGTTGAAACCTTGAGGTGGACGAGACTGAAAAAGATCACTTTTTGGACGAGTTTCCCCATATTCCGCTAAATCTTACCATGGTCAAAGCTCAAATTTAGCCTTATCGCTTCAACTATTTGCTAAGGACAAAACGTGCACACATATGCAAAAATTTCGTGAGTCAGCGCTTCGATAATCCACGCAGGAACAGGAATAAACTGCCGATTTTTGGACGAACGCCAATGTTGCAAACCCTTTTCGCTTTCTGCTCACTGCACTTTTGAACAAAACTGCCAAAATACTCACGTCACCGCTATGCTCCAAAGAAACTCGGTAAGGACGATCTTCTACGTAACGTTGATCGGTTATTTCCGGTCGCCAAACTCGAGTTTGACCTGGAGGCCTAAAAAACGAGAAAATCAGTTTTTTCGGCAATTATCGTAGAAAAATATGTAAACAGAAAGAAGATGGCATTGATTATTTGAATTGATTGATTATTAATTGGTGATTTGAATATTTCTATTTTCTGAAATTCGGATCTAGAGTGGCGACTGGTATCCAAAGTGGCAACTCATTTTTTGTTTCAGATTCTTTCAATTTCTGTAATCTAAAACTGCGTTTTTCTCTTTTTTTTGAATCTGGTACTAACTGAGTTACATTTGGCCTTTAGCGTACATATTTGGGTAATAGTAATACATCTTGAAGCAGAAACTTATAATACTGCCTTATGTCTTTAGCTAAATTTGTTTATGATATTTCTAGTAATCCATATATCACCTAATTGATTGTACTCTCTCTTTTATCCCTAAAAAATTAGGTTTCTATCTCAAAGGTTATTAGGATATCCCGTAAGATGGAAACCTGTTTGTAGGATGTTCACCAATATCAAGTGTTGTTCTTGAAAAAATCGGTCAAGTCGTAAGAAGTTGAAAAAGTGATAGATTTACTAAAATTTTTGCCTGTAAAGTGTCTTGCTTGAAAGGCTCACTCAAGATAAAATTGATCAACACCAGAAACCAAGCGATAAATTGGTATGAAGAAGCAATGCAGCGGAAAAGATGTTGGAACTGGGAAAATCAAACCGTGGCATAATCTCGCTCGCAAGAAAAAGATCTTCACATTTTGTCGGAATTTTGCAAATTTCGATGAAATGAACAACACTGAGAAGTTAAAGATCGATCATGAACTACATGACTTGGGCTCAGAAGTTTCACTGAACAAACTCAGGCAACAAATTTTCGCAAAATATACTCATGGAAGCATACGAAGGAATAAAAAATGAAAGTTAAGAAAATATTTGTAGCGAAACTGATAAGTAAAAAACGAGGCTATCTTCAAACTCCACATCCTATCAATTCTGCTCAGACTGTGAAAGTCAGATCACTTCACCTCACAGTAAGTTTGATGGTCATGTAAGATAATCATTCGATTTGATGGATAGGAGATCTGGCGCCATCATGGCATAGTATATGTAGTTTTCCTCATCCTTTCTAATGAGCGATATTAGAAGTGCACTTGTTATAAGAGCGAACAGTTGATGGTCTTGAGAAGAAACCTTTGTTCATAATTTTTCATTCCTAAAACTTGGGAATTGCTTTTGAGCCGATTGAACGGTTTGTCATACCAAATCTTGTATCACAGAAAACCTCTAGAGAACTTTGAGCTGGAGGGTTTTTTTTACAATAAAGAAATATCTTACAGGACTGGCAAGTCGTGCCTAGAAGGAGCTTCGCTGGTGGAAAACAAAATTATATCAATGAACACTTTCACCATGATCCCGAAAACACACATGGCTTGGAAAAAAGCCCTGAGCGAACTACGTAACACCGAAAGATAAACTTTGTATATCTGCTTGATAAAGGCTTTACAAAACAACAAAGAGATTCTGTTCAGCACACTCCTAGTAATGAAAAATAAGAGAGTCCTGTCTTATGTATACAGAAAAAACCTCTATCGCTGGAATAGCATAATATCTATAGTTTTATGCAATGATTATACGTTAATCCTCAAAAAACTGCAAAAAAAACGAAAGAATACTTTGAGTAAATGATGTTAGGTTATGCTGCCCAAACTAGGATAAAGCTTAGTAGATGCATTTCAATGTAATCAGAGGAAAAATATTTTAGCGAAATACAATTGTGGAGAACTGACACAAAAATAACTTGGCCAAGGCTCAAATAGCCACGTCATGCGATTGTGCCTCAAATTCGCTAAAAAGGTGATAATGGATGTCATGGGGGGCTCAAAATGGTAAAGAGAGTAAATGGGTTGAAGTTTGGAAGATTCAGAAAACTGGTCTGGTAGTTCAAAATGATGAGACGTTGAAAAGCAAGGCCTCAAAGGTATTGAGAGTGAAGAGGAGCAAAAACTTTTGAACCGGATTAGAGTTTTGGACCCCCGAAAGTCATATATACGAAAGGTACAAAACGCAAGAAACAGAAAGTAGTGAATCCAAACATCAGAAAATAAAACAGTTGACTAATCTTTCGTATTCAAAACTGACAGGCGATTGTTTGTTACTGTTTGAGATGGTATTATACTCAAAAACTGCTTTAAATGTTGGATATTCATGTTTTACCCAGTTTTTTTTCTTCAAATCGTCCGATGTTCTCAGTCAATGCAAAAGATGTGACGGCAAGGAAACAAATTGGGCTAATCAACGATAAAAATTTAGAAAAACCAGAACACCGCATTATTGATTTACGTCGTTACCAATCAACTTAATCAGCTTACCATGGTTTAGGAACCCCAGTAATTTGCACCATTTTCGTGGATGATGATGATGACGAGGAGAGAGTGAATTTCGTAGCGGGGGCGGGTTCGGGGCAAGTGAACGAACGTCGGGGGTGAGCGCAAATGGTTTACGGGTCGTCCCAATTTACATATATGATCCGAACAGAATAGTGGGGTTTGACAAGGATGACAAGGATGGGAGAAGTTTGAGATAAGCAAACTGATAACTGTTTGGGGAATTCTTTGGAATGCTGAGCTCGTGCTGTAAGATAAGGGACTTAGAATGGGAAAGAATTTGTAAGTTTGCCTCCTCAGCTTTTTCATATTCTCCAACTACCTATACACTTTTAAGTCTATTTTTTTGAGTTTTCCGGTGATTCTAAAAAGCACCAGTTTTTTCAACGTCCCAAAGGAGATCTCAGATGAAGAATTTCAAAAATTTTTGGAATTTGACAACCCTTCATTTAGCCATTGCAGCGCCTAAGAGTTTCTTCATATCAAAGTCATTTTTTGCAGCAGTACTAACAAAATGGTGATTAGCGGAAACAATTTTTTTTTGAATACAAAAGATAAAGAAATAGGGCACAAGACCGCTTTTTTGTTGATCAATGAAATAATGAGTCCTGGCGAACAAAAATCAAAATATGGAAGTGAAATGCTCTAAATTTTGTAACTGTAAGGATGGACTGCATTAAGGGAGGGGTCATCAAGTAGTCTTACTATTTTTATTTGCCTCAGAGCAATGGCGCAAAAATTTCTGATATTTTTGAAGATAAAAAAAAGCATATCGAAACAATATCAGTTTCAAAGTCGGTAATTTTCAATTATGTAAAAGAATATATAAAGATTCATGGTTTGTAAGACCCTGATTACATTTTTTGATTCAGGAAAATAGAAATATCAACACTCTAAAAACCTTTAAAAAGGACACAAAATATCACGGTCTCTCCTTCCTTACCTTCTGGGAGTGCCCGGACTTCCTACACTTTGTCTAAGTGCAGGAACGAAACGGAACAAGGATACTTCTTTTACGAATTGAATTTGTACACAATCTTTTACTACCACAATGTACACTCTTGTATAGTACTATTTCTGTTTCTATTACTTTTCGAGCACGCAGAAACATTACGCCCTTAGTCTAAGCTCCTTTTGATAAATTGAATCTAATCCCGGATTATATGTTGAAGTAAAACAGATGGACGTGCAGTTTGACTGGAACTACCAGTAATGCTTGTAATCTGTTTACAAAACGAAGATTATGTTAACAATCAAATTCTTTTAACTTTAAGCTTGCTATCATGCCCCTACAACTTCTCTGTTTTTGTTTCATCAGATGACTTTCTAATTCTCTGCTGACGATAAATTTACACCCGTCTCAAAGCACGTTAAAAAGGCTCTAATCATCTTCACTATACTGGTTCAAAGAGATCGCTGACTGGTTCAACTTATCTCCGCATCTAATCGCGGGAATCCTAAGAATCCACGAGTTTCGCTACCATCGCTAGTAGCTCGTCCCGAAACTTTCCGTTTCTGAACCAACCATGCCGAGAGATCCTCCGAACAGATATAAACAGCACTGCGGGTGGTTCGGTAGCACTTGTGGTAAACAGTGAACTTTGGGCAATAAAAATCCTTGGTATGGTTCCAATTGGTCTTATATGAATTTTGACCTCTAATTATTCTACAAAACCCTAGCTGAATGAGTTATTTTGATGGTGTAAAAGCTAGATAATCTATTTATTTATTCTTTGCGCTCTGAGACATGCTACAGAAATCAAGAAGATGTACAGCTGAAATATTGCGATACTTAAAAAAGAAAACAAACATATAGCGAAATCATTCTCGATCGAGGTCTAGCTTAATACTAAAAAAATTCCGAGCACTAAGGTTCTGCTCAAGCTAACTCTGCCAGAAATATATAACTGTGTAAAAGCTGGAACTGTAATATGTGATTGTAATGTATAAATGCGTGTGTAAAATTTTCACTGAGAAATAAGGCGAAAAATTGAAAAAAATTTCGTCAAAAAAAATTTTAAACAAGTAAATAGTTTTTTTTTGCGAATTCGTATTTCAAGCGCTCATTATTTGTACATTCTAGCGAAAAATCATTTTCAGTAACCCGCATTACTGCTCTTTGCATTGAATCTAACATTTCTTCAAAACTTTTTGCTATAAGACTGTAGAACATTGAAAAAATTGCTAGCACTGGTTCTGCTGAGTGGAGTAAAAATAGCGCACAAGATAAGTGGTTTCGACAGTCATCTTGCTAACCTGCGTCATATACAACTCTCGAAACCCGCTCTTATAAATAGTAAGAGATACATACTTACTGTTCTTTGATGTTTTCTTTGACAAGAATTCCACATTAGTAGACATTTTGGTAATTTTTATGGTTTGAAGATTTTCTAATCATTTTCAAGATTAGGTAATGATGTTGCACGAGTCGTATCAAAGTATACAGGGTGGCCCAAAAATATGCCTACTGTTTGATTGTTGATAACTCTCCTGCTATGAAGTCTTTGAGGAAACAGTGCGTACCATTTTGTAGAGCAGGCTACAACGTAGATTTACTGTATGGAGTGAGTCACCCATCTCCCTTCATTACCGTAGGATTACGGTAAGAACTAAAAGAGATTTTTGAGTTATAGAGGGTCATTTTTTGGCTCAGAGTGGAAACAAACAGGCTGAAAACTCACATTTCACGCTAATTTGAGTTGCTGATTCTGAATATAAAGTCTTCATCTCATTATAATGCTTCCAAAAGTTATGCCAGGTAAGCAATAGCAGCCATTTTCTCGAAATTGCCAAGAGTGTGGTTACACCGTTTATAAAGCTTCAAAATTTTGTACGAAGTTTAGTACTGAAACATGGCGTCCATTTAAAACCTATGACACAATTTTTCAGATTTATTTTTGAAAATCTTCTAAAATGGCAGCTTTTCCAAAGCAACGTTATGTAGTTCCTCGTAATCTTACAGTAACAAAGAGCGATCGATGATTATGTTCCATACTGTAATTCTAAGATGAACCCAGCTCTACAAAGTGCTACTTGAAACTTCTCCAAAGACTTTATGACAGGAGAGTTATCAACAATCCAACAGTAGGTACATTTTTGGGGCACTTTGTATGTAAAACATGTGATGCTGATAACTTACTACAGAAGATTATCACGTGGCTCTTTTCACTCAGATTAACTGAAGAAAGAAAATGCATTGAGCAATTGACTGATAGGACTCTATTTTGGATAATGAGTACTTTCATGGGGCGATTTAGGGTTGAGAATTGACGAACTCAATGATTTTGAAAGCTGATTTAGTTCTATACAATTAAAACCCTTGAATGAGGAAGTTGCTGCGCAGAATTTTAGAGATCAAGCGCTGGGAAGGATAATTTGTAGTTTAAGTGAAAGGGTACATAGCCTCTTGAGAACACAAGGAAAATGCAAGTATTTGTAAACATTTTAGCTTGTACAAATAAGAGTAAACCGGTTGTTCGGTGCTAGATCCTAAACATTTACGAAGGTAACACAAATAGTGATGGGTAGATATGACAGAATTTGCGATAAAGATAGAAGCAGATGTACCATTTCCAGATTTGGTGGAGTGTTCAAAGAAATAAAAGTACAGTAGCACAGTAGCTTGAGCATTTTACAAATGGCCCACAACAAATTGAGACAGGGCTCTGCACAGGTGTGTATAAGCAAGCTTGATATCGTTTTTGGAACAAAAGCAAAAGAGATATCGTTTTTGTGGCCGAAAAAACACAAATAAGGTTACGTTTTTTCAGTCGCACATTTCGTTTTTTGAAGGCTACGTTTAGGGTTTAGGGTCAAATCGGACTTCCTAAAATTTTGCGAAAGTCAAAGGAGACATTGTATTTAGCATTTTCGGAAAGCCACCTCGTGCCGAGCGCTGAAAACTATTGAGTACATACATAGACAAGCTTGCATTGGACATACGAGAATTTTACTGTATTAGATGCTTTTTATTTGAGCAATGTTCTATTTTGAACGGAAAAAAACGTTGAGAAAAGTTCAAAAATTATGACTATTCGTAGAAACTATGACTACTCCAACAAGCCGCATTTTTTCCTAAGAAAAAAAGCAGGTCATGAAACCGAGCGCCAAGCTAATAGATTTAGTGGACGTTCTTGCTTAAGCAACCTCAAACAAAACCAATAAGTGCTTCAAAAAAAATTCGAAATCCGTAACTATTTGTAGAGGCATCCAATCACTACCAACTTCTCTGAGTCAGAAAGAGTATGTCATAAAAAAATCAAGACGAAATACGAATCTGTATTTTCGAGACATTTTAGCAATTTTAGTGACCAAAAATCAAAGAATCATTTTTGGGTATTGCTCAGCTTATATCGTTGCCATAGGCCTTCAAGAAATTTTGATTTAAGCACCTGCAGAAAGCTCAACATTTTCTTTCCCTATCATGTATCAGATCAGAAGATTTCATTGAGACTGGAGGAACTAACAAGATTTCAAAAATTTTGGTGCAAAAATTATGCATCAATCAAATATAAGAACTCCCCACAAAAGAGATTTTCTGGGGATTTGGCTTCATGTATTTCAATTCACTACTCATATCTATTTTTGAGAGTTGAATTAGAAAGTACAAAATCATATGAATGTACTTTCAACCGCATCAAGCAATGAACAACTTCGGGAAAAGAGCACTCACCTGTGCACGACGAGTTCGATTTTATCGCGAGATGTGACTAGTAAACGATCGACTGAGTTGATGTCGAGATTGCTCAGACCCTCGAGCTGATCGAGTATGTCACCGTTCCGTAGACCTGCACGGTCTGCCAACGAGCCGCCAACTACCTGAAAGTGAGAATTTGGCTTCGAAGAACTCGCTAGTCAGCACAAGAATAGCCTGAGAGGGGAAATACAAAAGCTGAGAAAGGATCTGTTGATAAGAAGAAAAGGTGACTGGATCAAACAAGGGAGAAGAGCCAGTTGAGTTTAAAGAAAGCTAGAATAGCATGACCTCTAAGAGTATGCAACCAAGTAATTTTTGTAAAATTTTTATGCCCAGACTGGCTAAAAAAACTTATCTTTTCATTTGAAAAAGAAGTCTCTTAAGGTACGAACAGGTTACTTATGTTCCTATATCTAAGTAGGGCTCTGTTGAACAGAATGATCGGGCCAAACAAGGAATTCTGATCAAAATCAAGTCATTTAGAGTAATCAATTACTATTCTGCAACTTCGAGTTTCAAAGCCGAAATCACTTAGAAGATGTTACATGAAAACTAGTTGGGTATGGCTATGAAGGCAAATCAATGGTTAATTTACTCCTTCACGAAAGGATTCAGAGATAGTTGCCAAAGATAAGACATTCATTTTTTTAGGAGACAAAAACTTTTTGAAAATATTAGTATAAGGTTTAGAGTAGTAGAAGATGTTATGCTAATAAGCAAGAACTGCTTCTAAAGAAATTATACCAATTTCGGTCGGTTTTACGGCTCTCAGAGATCCTGCAGACAATTTTTGGTCCAGTATTCGGTAACTCTAAGAGCGCTCTAATGAGGAGATTAGAACATAGAATCTGTTTAAGTAAAACTTCGTTTCGATGAAAGAAATTCGCAAAGAAGTAGGAACCCTCAATTTTCTCACTGTGCGCAGATATGAGAAATTTTGGTTTTTTGTAGAAAATTTTGAAGTAAGAGATCACATTTTTTATTGACAGTCGCAGAAGGAAAACTCGTCCGCATCAAAAGACCAAATTGCGGTTCTCTACACCCGTTGGAGCATGAAAACGAAGCTCAGAAAGTCGCAATATTGAGCTTTTGGAATTTTAGCCATGTTGGGGCGTAAGCGATGAAACATTTTGAGTAGTTAATAGGAGATAGAAAAAGCTTTGCACCACTTATCTCGTGGATAAAGAGCAACTATGTAGAAAGGTTTTTGTGAAGATTTTCATACCAAAACAAGTATTTTCAAGCCAAGCTAATATTTGCTTAGCGTTCCGTTCCAATATTTCTGCAAATTATTCCATGATAAGTTGAGCGCAGTCACATCGTAAAGAAGTGGGACATTATTTTTTTTTGCCTTCTTTGAAGTCCATCTTTTTTCCGCGACACCAAATACAGCCAAATTTATTCCTAAGCTGAATGAAAAGAAAAAAAACTTTTTTCTAATGAAGATGACATCTTTTTTAGCGTGTGATGTTAGGGCTTAGCAAGGGATAAGACTGAGAGAAAATCTCTCTTCCAACTCCAATCAATCATCACATGCCAGAAAAAAAATGCGTACGGGGTAAGCGACCCTTTTCGTTGAAAAGACAGAGTTATTTTACGTCAAAATCATTTCACATAGTACGTTCATCAAAAATCTGAGACGAATAATTTGAGTTACCGCAGACAAACAAATTATTTCAGTCCGGACAGTTCTGATTATCCACCCTCAAACATTTCGAATATTTGCAGGAAAACCATTCATCAAATTTTAAGTGCAGACAAATGTCACTTAATTACATACGGTGCAAAAAGTTTTGACATATGGACTGACAAAAACGACCGAAACCAGTTTTCTGCCCTGCTTTACGATTTATCGTAAATTTGCAACGGATTTCTAAACGAAACATGAGAAGGGAAGGGTGTTATCTCATCTAAATATTGATGTGTTTCAATTCCTCTACGTTTTAATAAGATATTCTGACGCCCAGCGAGGCGAACACCAAACGTGTTAAGATTGTGCCACAAAGGAAAAACTTATCCCGCCAAGAATTGACATTCAAAAAAAATGAAAAAAAGATGAAGTTTAGAAGAAATCAGGACCGTATTTTCTATGGTTTTGCAAAATATCAGCAGTACATGAAGTTGACAGAGAATGGATGGATAGAACCAGATTCTTATATCATAGGTTAATTGAATAGTGCCCCCAATTTGTTTACTGATATGAATCTGTCAACAACTGATATTACAAAAGTTTTGAAAGTCGCTGGATAATTTGTTAGCATAACCTAGCAGCTGCTTTTCACTTTTATAGTATTCCTAGTTTTGACAAAATGATAGAGCGCTGATAGCATAGAGAAGAGAAAGAAAATGACGAAGATCTTCTATACATTTTTCCTTGTTGTCCAGGGTCACTGAGCATTCCGCACAGATAGTTAGCAGTTTCTGACCATGCATATGTGTTACTGTTAGATTAATTGAGAGAAACTATACATGGTCAAGCAATGTACAGTGCATATCAAAAGTTTGGAAGTCTACTACTCTCCAGTGAAAAATTTGGCGCGCATTTAATACAAACAGTTACGCAGATCAGCTCTCAAACTTTGACTTGACCTCTTTTGGCCACAACGCTGGCCTTCAAAACCTTGGCAAATGCTCCTATGGGGCACGCAGATAACCTTAATGAACTTTGCTTTATAGTAATTGCATTTCATTCAGAAATTGAGGGAGCAAGCTTTCTGCTACAAAACATATGAAGGATATCTTTTGCACTATACAAAAAAATATTTGGATGTAACTGCAGGATTTTGCAGCATTACGTGGCATTCAAATCAAAGTATCGTAGAGTTACGAACTGCAGCATTGCATACGAGTACTCAAGCTTTTGACGCACCGTATAGAATTCCAATATGATCTGATCCACATCGTCTAGAATACAAAACCTACAATCTTCAGTAAATACGTTGCCTGTAAAGCATTTTGTCTTCACAGAAGTCCTCTTTCGTTTACTTGACTGAAAAATGGCCTAATTTGCGAAAATTCGGGGGCTTCATTTTCATAAGCACTTGCACAGAGCTGAGCACTCCCATGTAGTGAGCCTTGAGCGTTAGGTATACATTTCGATAAACACTAAATAGCATATGTTGTATTCAGGATATTATAGGGTAGATACTCAAGCTAACGCGTTATCACTTCGTCTTTGCAAGTAAGGTATCCTAAAAATGGCTGAGACTCCTCGTTTCGATCAGTGTGAATATGCAGGAAACGACTAAATGAAACGAGAGCGATATGGAAATTATGCAACTTTGAAAATTGCTGGAAAAATGGAGCTGCATTTAGCGTAAGATACATATGAATCATAGCTAAGAAGCATTGCTCTGAAAATGGTAACGGCAATAAACTTTCTTGTTAGTCCAATAGGAAAAATGCAAAATTTGCTTCTAAGGCCCCGGGCAGACTTCACGCGATTTGATCGTCGCGACTGAATCGTGAGGAGACAACTGTTACAACATCATTCCATGCAGATCAACTTGCATTCGGTTGTGATACTTTTCCAGACCGAAATTTTTGAATGTGAAATGAAAATGAATGGAAATCTTGGCGATTTGGTCGCGACGATTAAGTCGCGTGAAGTCTGACAGGGGCCTAACGGCAAAACTAATCTTTACATTGTGATGAACCAAGGCAGAGGTCGGTTTACCTTCTCATAATAAACCTTGAGCTGTTTTTTTTCCACATAACTAGCTAACACCTTTGGTGTGATATACATGAAGATTTGCGGAGTGATCTTCTGATTATACATGAACATATATGCGTGAAGCACACGCGTTGAGACTGGGTGATCTCTATTCCCCAGACAAGTACTTGTCCGTCATACAACACAGCCCTGAACCCCAAGCATTAAGGTTGCCACCGATGAACTCTTCGGCGCGTCTACTGGACGCTGACGCTGCCACCCTACCAGCCAATCCCTACCACAACTGCGACGACTATAAAAGTTTATCTGATACTAACCATAACCAACTATAGTACTGCTATTTCGAACTACTACTACTGCTAAGTCTAAATCTCGAGTCGCTGATGTTTCAAGACTCATTCCACATGACAGTGCTGTGGATTCTTCACCAGGGTCGGCCGTTGAGTTCATAAGGAAGCGCAACTTCGAATCGACTCCCAGGGTTGACTCTGTCTACTCTAAGGAGTTTTTTTTTGCACCACCAAGCGCTGAAAACTTCATATTGGTCAACTGCGCATACCTAGAACTCTTTTGCGGAAGCTGCTAGAGAAGCAGCCAAGCATAGTGAATGACGACTTGATAAAAACGAAAGAAGCAACTGCCGTTACCAGCACAGCTACCTTTTGATTCAACTGACTTGGCAGCTGGAAGGCGGGACTTCTTGACCTAAATAAGGCTAGGTAGTGAGCACTCGCTCGAGAGAGACGCAGACTGCGTCGCGGGCGCGGGCGGCCTTAATTAGGTCACAAAGCCCCTCCTTCCGGCCGTCAAGCCAGTTGAATCAAAGGCTATCTATACCCTTGGCCGCCTTCCCAGCCGGAGGTCAGAATACAGTAGGCGCAAAAGATCACGGCGGCATACAGTAGTACTCTGTCTAGGAGACTGCTCGCATTGCGGAGTAGCGGCAACTTGCCCTAACACCCAGTTTTCACGTCATACCGTAAGCACTGCTAAGAAGAACAAAAAATGCCACCCCAAGAACATTTATCTGCAGGCGAGCAATGTATACACTGGCGAGCACATCCACCGCGCATGCACTGGCGAGTTCTTTGCGGCCGACAGGCAGCGCACGTCGTTTGTTACACTTTTCATCTCGAAACTAGCGCTGAGCTCCTGCTCGTCCTGACTGGGACGATGAAGATCCTGAATAGCACGCAAATTTCGCGGAGACTCTCATCTCATACTCGTTAAGTGATAAAAAATGCGAGGAACTAACAACTGGCGTCAATAGCAGAATCTCGAATTAGGAGCAATTACCACTAAATTATGATCGTTTTATTTGAATCAGGCCTCCCATATATGCACAGTGAATCTAATTGTAAGATTCGTTTCAAAAGTGGTTAGAAACGTCACATGTAGTAAGTAGTTTCCATAATTCTCTATTCCGTTAGTTATATGTAGTAGGATACA